GCACGTGGCCACTAAATTAATGCCTATCTGTTCAACTTGACTAGATCAATGTTAGGCTTAGCCTTTGCTATCCTGAATGTACGTTTCGCCAGAACCTATCATCATTCCTGCATGTGGTTGGCACTACGTCCACCCGTGGCACAGATCGCCGCACGAAAATCCCTTGTGACGATTGCATGGATGCTGATGAAACCATTGACGCTCTAGTCATGGACCGCTCTGTCTGCAAGTTTATCGATCAGTCTGCCGTCGGGCGGCTGCGTAAGCGTTGTATGGGGTAAGTCAATCCTTCCTACCTCGACTGTGTTTTCAGTCCCCCAGTCTCGCCTTGAATGAAGCCGCTCGACGGCAGGATAAGGTTGTGGCTTTCGCTTGGTGGTCCCTTACTGGTCAGAGTTACTCACTGATTGATTGCCCTTCCTTGCAGGATTGGTCACGGCGGGTATCTGTAACCTCTGCATGGCATCCTCTCTGGCAGAGTTCTTGTCAGCGTATCCTACGTGAGTATTGGTCGACTCAATATCCTGGATGGCTACTGACTAAGGTATCAGGGCGGGTGGACAATATCATTGGGTAGCAGGTAAGCTCAATTCACCTGTTTGCTTCGGGTATCCATGAGTTATGACCTCTGTTTATGATACTGACTATTCATTCTGTGCAGTCAGTAAGTACAATATACCCCTTATCTCATGAGCGTCACTAAGTGAACAAAGTTGCTCCGGCAAAATACATGCCTGTACTTTCGTGGATTACAGGATGGGCAAACGTATCTGGCTGGGTGGCCCTGGCTGCCACTGGTGGATCCTTAGGCAGTCAACTGGTCTTGGGTGTGATTTCCTTGATGCATCCGGTAAGATTCCCCTTACATCTGCTTAGATGTCAAAAGTCGACTAACTCCTTCAAGACATATGAGTCGAAAAGATGGCATCAGTTCCTCATCTACATCGCATTCTGCCTTGTTGCATTCCTGATCAATGCCTTCTTGAACTCTATCCTTCCACGGTTGACCAAGGGTGCCTGTATGTGCACAGACTATGAGTATCATGGAAAGGAATCTTGGCAAGGCTAATCTGTTGCAGTTATCTGGTCCCTAACCGGCTTTGCTGTTATTTGCATCACTGTGCTATCATGCTCATCGCCCAACTACAACTCTGGAGAGTAAGGATTTGATTACCGTCGTGTTGTACAACCACTTACTCTGATTCAGATTCGTCTTTGGTGACTTCATCAACGAGACAGGCTGTAAGTGGAGGTTCAACCTGTTTCAATCTGTTATAAGTGCTAATGGAACACAGGGCCCGATGGTCTTGCTTGGCTGCTTGGGGTATGTTGCAATCAAGACAAGGTCATATCTTGTCATTAACCGAGTAACAGCTACTTCAAGGAGGCTTTGGTCTTACTGGATTTGTATGGTTCCCCTTACACGCTGCTCGATAAGCATTACTAACTTTCGAGCAGGATGGAGTTGCGCACATGATCGAAGGTATTATCACGAGCATAACACCTCACACGGCACAGGCGCTAAACATCAGCAGAGATCCCGAACCCCTCTGTAGTAGGGCCTAAGATTATGATCGGCTGCGTTGCCATTGGCACTTTCACCGGTACCATCTTCTTGATTGTACTGCTTTTCGTTGCTGGTGACATCAACAACGTCATCAGCTCGGCAGCTACCCCCCTGCTTCAGATCTTCTATGACGCGACGAGGAGCAATGCTGGATCTATCTGTCTTCTGATGTACGCGAGTTCTGCCCCGCCTGGTCACTTCTGATTGATGCTGACTGAAGTTCTAGTTTTCCTTTGGTCTGTGTCCTCTTCGCCGCTGTTACCATCACGACGACAAGCAGCCGCATGGTCTATGCATTCGCAAGGTGACCACCATTTGGCCTGGTACCAGCTTCTGAATATGAGCTAATGTTCACGGCAGAGACGGCGGTCTCCCAGCTTCGCCTTTCTTCAGCAAAGTTCATCCGAGACTACAACTGCCTCTGAACGCTTTGTACCTGACTAGCTTCTTCTGCGTTGTGTTCGGATGCATCTTCCTCGGTTCTTCCAGGTAAGTGAACAGCGGATCTTGATTATACAGCAAAACCCAGCCAAGGAGCCCACCGCTAATAGATGATTAGTGCATTCAATGCCATTCTTTCTTCGTCTGTGATTCTGCTCGACATTGCATATGCCATTCCCATTGCTGTGAATTGCGCTCGGGGTCGGAAGATGCTGCCTGAAAGACCTTTCGTTCTGCCCAGTATCTTTGGCTGGATTGCCAACATAGTACGTCCAATGAGGCCCGGGATAAAGAAGATGCACAGCACTAACGATATGTCTAGATCTCTTTGTGCTACATCACAATGACCACTGTTCTCTTCGTTTTCCCGCCCGATCGCATTGTGACAGGCAGCAATATGAGTAAGTTCGCTATCAACTACCACCGATCCAGAGTTGCTAACTAGAGCAGACTACTGCATTGTTGTTGTTGGAGTAGTCATGATCTTGTCGGTCTTCCAATGGATTGTTGACGGTCGTAAGAACTTCTCCGGACCGCGAATGGACGTCGATGTGATTTCGGGACAGGTTGCCGCGGGTGGTGAACCTGCTGACTACGCCGTGGAACACGGTATTCCCCATGATAAATGAAATGATTTGTGTATCTTAGAATAAAGCAAGATTTGTCTTCGAGCACAGGTGCCGAAGGACAAATCTGTCATGAGTTTACATCTCTAGAGAGTTGATTTCATAGGAATCTCCTGTATTTGTTGGGAAGCCAGAACAGGACTAGCTTGATGACATAATGCTGCATAACTTGAGTAGCTAAATTGCATAAAAGATGTCATCATTTGCATCATCCCATCAGTTGGCACATGGTTGAGGCATCTCTTCCCCACTCTCCCAACTATTGATCTTGATTTCGATTTCAAACCATCTACTAGGAATCTGATTGTGTACTGCAGCTTGGAACTGTTATGCTTGGAACATGGCTTGAGATTAGCGCTTCGCTGTGGCGTTGATCTCTCATATTCATACTCAATAGCATATCGCCTGATCTCAACGTTGAAGACCCACCGGACGCCAACAAAGTGACCCGCTCCCTTGACTTTCACAACTTATCGGCCCCTTCACTACTCATTGTTGTTATTGTAATCCCCACTAAACAATATGGATATGATCTCTTTCCTGCCCTCATTCGGTCGATGGAGACCGTGGGGAGATTCCAAAATCTTCAATATCTCTCCGGTTGAAGTGCATGAGATCGACACGGCCCAAGAGAAGCCTGCCCGTGCTCTAAAGCATCTACTTAAACTGAACCACGCCAACTACGCTTTCTTGTGGAATGAACGCAAGTTTCACAACCATGCACCTCATGTTTGTCACTGTATAGCCAAGACATAGTCCGGTATTGTACTGATTGGGACAGATCCTCAGTTCAGCCTTCCTGCAAGGCGCTGACGCAGATGATCTGAACCGTATATACGAAAACGAGTCCAAATCTCTCGATCCCTGGGAAGACTCTCCCGGCGAGATCAGTACATATGACTGGCGGGACTATCTCTCGCGCCGAGAGTAAGTAGCAAGTCAAGTCCTTGGTGAAATGGCCAACCTTGCTGACCATCTGGCCCAGATACCAACGCGCGTTTGTGGACTTCTTCGAGGATGAACTCGTCCGGCATAGCTATGACTGGAAAGAAGTCGCTTTTCAGTACCTTTTTTCAGGCAAAGAACCGATGTTCAGCTCTCTTGTTGCAGATCGTGCGTGGCAGCCTCAAACCCTATCTCTACCTCTCTAATATGGCATAGTTGGGCACCCCCTTATTCACCTCGCATATGCTTTCGAGATGTCCAGTCGCGAAGTAGCTATGGAGGCACTGGGTATGGCCGCTACCTGCTACGGTAGTATCCATAAATACCTCGACGACCCATCCTACTCTAAGATCGAACCCTCCTACCACACCACTTCTCTATTCGAGGTCCTCGCCAAGGTCCGAGCTGACAAGCAATTCGACAATCTCTTCACTACATCGGGCGAGGAAAACATCGAAGTTCTCTTCCGCAACCACGAAGCGGCCCTCCTCAATCACTGGAACGCATGGACGATCCAAGATCCCGTCACTCAGTTCCGCGAGAGCCAGGAAGTGGCCGCGGCCCTGCTGACCGCCACAGTGACCGCGGCCCACCCCAAGTACGACTTCTTCCTCGTCCACACTCTCACGACGAGCCACGCCGTGCGAATCCTCCTCCCTCTCATCCCAGGGAAGTTCCAGATGGCTTTGGTCCGGCAGTGGTGGCTCATGACGCTGAGCGTGTACGTCGCGGGGCTCCGACCGGAGACCGATCTTGACAGAGTCAGGGGATACGAACTCAAAGGCCGAGATTGGAAATGGACGGCACACAAGGCTGTCAAGGGGCAGTACTCGACGGATGCACACTACGTCAAGGCGATCCGGGCTTTGAGAGAAGCGGCCAATACGTGGGGGGATCCGGAGGAGTTCTACCTTCGGGCGGCTGTTCGATTTGCAGATGAGTTCGATGATTGGGCGTTTTGAGTGCGGAAAACAGGATATGGGTTCTGAGATTATCAAATTTGGTTGCGGTTTTGTTATACGGTAGTTCTGGTTCTGTGGGGGTATGACATGGTTTATTGGCTGGATGCTATTTCGTCACCTGCACCCTAGTCTAGTGTATCAGATTGGCAACTCTTTGTATTTGAGTGACAGCATCTCCAAATTGAGACATCGTGCTTGCGGCATAGGTTCGTCGATCTCTACGGAGTGCTCCGTACATACTCAGTGTCTCAATGTCATGCCTCAGGCACCAGACGAACAGAGGCACCGACCGCCTTTGAATGGCAGAATGCTCCGAACCTCGAGACGAAAACCCCGGACATAAGCGGAGATAAGAGGTAACAGCCCACGAAATCCCGTCCGCGAAACTGTTCAAAAGGCGGTGGCAGAAAGAGCCCACCTGCTGAGCACGGCAGCACCACCTAAAGCGCAGCGCGTCAACAGCTGGGCTCCCAATCACCACCAACTTCACTTATCAACCCTCCAAAAAAAACTTGTGCACAGACAGCATTAAATCATAACGTCACCACCACTATCAATCGCTCCACTAATACAAAAGCATACTAACTATAAGAGATCTCAATACAGCAAAACCGGGGAACCACACCCCCCCCTCTTTCGGCACAAGAGAAAAAGATGCAACCAACACCAGGGACAGCCGAGGACGAGGACCAGAAGAACCCTCTGATCTACCTCCATGCCGAACTCCTCCCGCACATCCGTCACATCACCCTCTATGTCTCTGTTTCTGCTGAGGACAGCGACGCCCATGCCCAATCGCAAGACACCTGTCCTAAATCAGCGAAGGAAACAAAGGGAGGAGATGTGCAAATCACACTCTCCGAGTCCCGGCGCGCGGTGTCGGTGTCAGTCCCACCGGCGGCCTCGCCACAACTGCCGGAGAACCGTGGCGATGATGCTTCTCCCGAAACAAGAGCAGCGATGGACGCGGAACCCGAAACGGAAACGATGAAACTCCCCGCGCGCGTCACGGAGGCCGCACGATATGTGCTTCGCGCCCCGCAGTGGCAGCGTACTTCTTCTGAGGGGAGGAGGCGGGAGGCGTCGTTTCGGATGCAGGTTGTTGGGGAGGGTACCGGTGATCAGACAAATGGGACTGGATTGTTGGCGGGGAGGGGCGGGGATGAGGAGCTGGGGGGCGGGTTTGTGCCGTGGAGGGCGCCGGATATGCGGCCGGGGACGCGGGTCAGGTGTCGTCGGTGTGAGAGCGTGGTTCTGGATCAACCTGCGCGATCGGCGGAGGGGTGGGTGTGGAAGGACCTGCCCAGTGGGAATTGGGCGGAGATGATGGATTTTTGGCATTGTCATAAGCCGGATCCTGAGGGTGGTCATGAGCATGGAGATGGTGAGGGTGAGGGCGGGCTTGATGCCGGGGAGCAGCAACAACGGCAGCAGCAGCAGGGTGCGAAAGCAGGTGGGGGAGGTCGATCGAAAGATCCGAATGCAATGGTCAAAGGGTATGGAGCTGCGAATCAGGTCGTGGCTACTGTGGGTACGATCCTGGTGGATGTCGCGGCTTTTCTGGTGGCGGTGGAGGATTGTTTGGGGGTGATGAAGGTAAGGACCTGTTCCTTTTTCTGTGGTCTTTTTGTTTCCCCCCCCCCCGAGATGAAAAGCTTTTGCAAGGCTTGGTGTCTCCCTGAATCAGGGCAACAAGAAGGAGACCTTTCTGGCCTGTTTTCCTCCGTGGTATGGTCTCCGATACAGTTGCCCGACATTAATCATGGGCCTTGACCCCTTATTATATTTATGGTGCAAGAGAAGCAGGAAGGGGGGACTACTAATGGCTGTGCGTGGCTGGTTTTCTTATATGGTGGTGTAGTCATCCTCTTCTTTCCCTCAAGATAGGAGATGGATTTCGCAGCATCATTGTGGCATCGGCTTTGCCTAGGCGTTGGTAGCTTCCTCAGAGGGCTTCGTTCTGGGATCAAGGCTGGCGCCCTCGCATAAAGTTCCTTCGTTGTCTTTTGATCCCGAGTTCAATGGGAGTCGACGTGATCATGGCGAGGTACATTGTTGGTGCGGTGTGATATATGGAATTAGATTAGATTCATAGAACATGCAACTTGACTTCATGCTGGCGTATTGCGAAGCACTACCTTGCTATGCCTCTTCCTTTCCTCTCTACTTGCCATCTTATCATTATCTCCTGCTAATAGCTCGAATAAAAACCTCTTTAGGACCCGGACTCCGATGATATCCGCTGCTGCGATTGTAATACATTACTCGGCCAGGTCGATCCTATAGCCCAAGGCTGGAGACTCTTCAAGACCGCTATCTCCGCAACAAAGACGAAAACTGATACTGGTACCGAGCAAATGGAGTGGGAATACTACCCCATCGAGGTCATCATCGCCGCCCAACTCCTGGAACTAGTCGAACGAGAAAGCGCGCGTCGCTTCGTCGTGCACTGCGGACATAGCAGTGGATTGTTGGTACGTTTCTCCCAGTCTCCCAGTCTCCCACAGGAAGTCACCCTTGTTCGCTCGACCATATGCTAAACTCCTCCGGCAAAAAAACCAGATCTGGGTTTTCAACCCCGACATGCGGTATTCCAACTCGAGCGCCCACCACAGCATCGCCGCCCAACGAGCGATGAAGGTCTTCTTCCAGCCTCTCCACAATGTGGAGCAGACGCTGCACCCGGAGGTCGGGAAGCCGTCGACTACGCTGGCGTTGGAGGAGGTGCGGTTGCCGGAGGAGACGTATCGGGCTTTCGAGGAGGTGCTGTACCGGAGGAATGCGATGCTGCCCGTGTCGGCGAGGGTGTTCAGGGAGTGGAGGGTGGGGGTTTTGCATCGGTTGCAGTGATGTTGAGGGTTTATGTCCTTGTTGGAAGGGAGGAAGGTGTGGATTTTGTATATTGTGGATGGCTGCTGAGGTTAGTTAGGGGATGTGACGACACCGTTCTCATATTTGCTGGTTGCACTTAGATACATTGTTGGTGTTTGGTGACTGGTATGGATACAATAGGACCCAGGAAACCTCGTGTACTCTGGGCGTCCTGGCTGATGTCTTGACTGGTTGAGACCTTTGGGCAGGCTTTCACTTGGAAAGCTATTCGCAGGCCATAATAGAATTAAGTCTTAAAGATGCACAAGTTACCGGTCGAAGGATACTCTACTTAGTGACAAAGCTGTAGTGGAGCAGTAGTATAAGAAAATCTACTTTGTGTTGTGGGGAAAATCTGGTCGAATAAGGCACGGCTTCTAGAAATAACATATAACAATCCTCAGGGTAATCTGTTATGTTTGTTATAATAAAGTCAATATCATGTATAATAGAAGAGGAGCACACGCCACCATATTAATCCTATTGTCAGACTGCTAACTTATACATGGTCGATGATTGACCCAAATAGGCTATCAATAACTAGCGGCTGATCGTGTGAATAGTAAATAGCGCAATTGATGCCTCGGGCCGTCCAAGGCTATCCGCTGGAACGATCGGCTTGCCATCCCCCCCCCCTGTTTCGAATCTCCCTCACACTCACACACACTCTCTCCGAACTTCTTTTTTCCAATGTCATAGATTCTGTCTTTCCTGGCTTCTTCAAACCCTCCACTGGCCCAGAGACTTAAGGCCAGCTGAGATCTGTCGTCCATCCCCCGATCGCAACGAATGCCGATCCACCTTCGCCGATAGCGATCCTCCGATCTTATCAGCCTCCTAGCTACCCTAGCCATCTGTCCTGTCCTACGTGCCTCGCACCAACGCATGTGTCTTTCCCACGCCTACTGATTCACCCTTGAATCTCGCGCCCTCCCACCATGGGGACATACGCCGATGATGGTAACACGGAGTTCCTGCCCATGAGCCGCTCGAGGACCGCCTCTCAGTCATCCTCCGATTCGGACCTCTCCGTCGACACCCCGTTCCCCGACGAATCCAAATTCACAACCACCCACCTGAACAATCCCTTAAAGTCCAGCTCAGCCGAAGATGCGAGATATCGAGACGTCGAGGAAGGCGAACCGCAGCCCGATGAGCCATTCCTACCCTCGTCGCAAAAGAAATCGGCTGCATCGACCGGACGCCGGACCTCGCGTATAATCTGGGCACTGGTCATACTGTGTGTGGCAGGTTGGCTCTGGGGGTTGGCGCTGTTCGTGGCGCAGAAGCGGTCCGGCGACCTCGCTGTCTCCGAAGCGCTGCAGTCGCATGATTCCAGCCCCTTTTCGGACAGCACGAGTTCCGGAAAGCCTGTCACGCTGGAGCAGGTGCTCAGAGGTCAATGGCAGCCCATGTCGCACGCCATCTCATGGATCGCGGGGCCCGACGGTGAAGACGGCTTGCTGGTGGAGCGAGGAGAAGGCGAGGGCAAAGCCTACCTGCGCGTGGAAGATATCCGTAACCGCAAGAAGGATGCCCAGAGCCAGGAAAGTCGGGTGCTGATGGAAAAGCCCACGGTGCATGTGGATGGGCGCGATATTTTCCCGGCCATGACATGGCCCAGCCCCGATCTCAAGAAGGTCCTGCTCTTGTCGGACCGTGAGAAGAATTGGAGACATTCGTACACGGGCAACTACTGGATCTTCGACGTCGACACCCAAACGGCGCAGGCGCTGGATCCCAGCGAACCCGATGGACGGGTCCAGCTCGCGGTCTGGTCGCCTGCTTCTGATGCTGTCGTCTTCGCCAGGGGGAACAACCTATATCTGCGGAAGTTGTCGTCAGATAAGGTGGTCCAGATCACGAAGGACGGCGGTGCGGACCTTTTCTACGGTGTGCCTGATTGGGTTTACGAAGAGGAGGTCATCTCCGGCAACAGTGTAACGTGGTGGTCTAGCGGCGGCGAGTACCTCGCTTTCCTTCGCACCAACGAATCCTCCGTGCCTGAATTCCCAGTCCAGTATCACCTCTCGAGACCCTCTGGAAAAGAGCCGCTCCCGGGACTCGAAAATTATCCGGAAGTGAGAGAGATCAAGTATCCCAAGCCCGGCGCCCCCAACCCTGTTGTCAACTTGCAATTTTACGACGTCGAGAAACAACAAGTATTCACAGTTGAAATCCCCGGCGACTTTAGTGATGAGGATCGCATTATCATTGAGGTGGTCTGGGCAGGTGCAGACAAGGTCATTGTGCGCACCACAAACAGAGAGAGTGACGTTCTCAAAGTCTTCCTAGTTGACACCAAATCCCGCAGTGGTAAGCTTGTTCGAACTGAAGACGTTGCAAGCATCGACGGCGGCTGGGTGGAGCCATCCCAGTATACCAGGTTCATTCCCGCTGATCCAAGCAATGGCCGGCCACACGATGGCTACCTCGACACTGTGATTCACAACGGCTACGACCATCTCGCATACTTCGCGCCCCTTGATAACTCCGAGCCAGTCATGCTCACCACAGGTGAATGGGAAGTGGTCGAAGCTCCTGCCGCCGTTGATCCCCACCGAGGCGTCGTCTATTTCATTGCAACAAAAGAAGCTCCCACCCAGCGCCACCTGTATCAAGTGAACTTTGATGGATCCAACCTCAAGGCTCTTACAGATACCTCCAAACCAGGCTACTATGACGTTTCCTTCTCCCAAGGTACCGGATACGCACTGCTCAGTTACAAGGGCCCCTCCATCCCATGGCAGGCAATAGTCAATACCGAGACAGACGAGATCATCCTCGAAGAAACCATCGAGGACAACGCCGGCCTGGCTCGTATGGTCGAGACATACGCCATCCCGACGGAGATCTACCAAAATGTCACCATTGACGGCTTCACGCTCCAGGTCGTCGAACGTCGCCCCCCTCACTTTAACCCGGCCAAGAAACACCCCGTTCTCTTCTATCTCTACGGCGGGCCCGGCTCACAAACAGTCGATCGTAAATTTACCGTCGATTTCCAGGCATACATCGCCTCCAGTCTGGGTTACATAGTCGTCACTGTTGACGGCCGAGGCACGGGCTACATCGGCCGCAAAGCACGATGCATCGTCCGCGGCAACTTAGGCTACTATGAGGCTCACGATCAAATTGCCACGGCCAAGATGTGGGCCCAGAAGACTTATGTTGATGCGACCCGAATGGCGATCTGGGGTTGGAGCTATGGCGGATTCATGACCTTGAAGACCCTCGAGCAAGACGCAGGACAAACATTCCAATACGGAATGGCTGTTGCACCTGTGACCGATTGGAGATTCTACGGTACGTGTCCGAGCCCCAAAGACAAGGTTGACCCTCACATTGACAATGTATCAAATAGATTCTATCTACACTGAACGCTACATGCACACTCCCGAACACAATCCCATGGGATTCGACAATGCCTCTATTTCCGACATGTCTGCGCTCCAGGAAACCGTGCGATTCCTGGTCATGCACGGCTCCTCAGACGACAACGTTCATCTTCAGAATACTCTTGTGTTGGTTGATAAGCTGGACTTGGCTAGTGTTGAGAATTACGATCTGCATGTGTACCCGGATTCGGATCACAACATTGCGTTCCACAATGCGCACACCATGGTCTACGAGCGTAAGTCAACTTCCTTCATTCCGTTTGCGTACCTTCGGGAGGGGATAATAATTCGTCAATTAGGTCTCTCGAGCTGGCTCATCAATGCATTCAATGACGAGTGGCATCGCATCGATCACCCAGTTCCTGATGAGTCGATGTGGAGTAGGGTCAAGCGCTCGTTGCCCATCTTGGCACATTAGCTAGATTACGAGGCTCTCTGTCGGACTGGCGTTCTTTGGTTCATATGATGAGAATTTTATCAAATCTCGTTTTCTTTCTTTGTATATACGTACCGGAATAAATGGGTTCCCTCCAAGCTTCTTTCGTCCGCCGGCGAGACACCCCCTCTTGTGTGGTCACGATCCTTTCGCCATGCTCACTCTAGCAATCACCCGAGGAGGAAAATTCCCTAGAGAAAGAAAAAGCCCACTTTCGGTTCCGGGCCGTCTGCGCTCTAGCGGGATTACCGCCACGGCAGTCAGTCCGGTCCGGTGCCCACCGAGGCCGGAGTGGGACGAGAGACGGGATCGGAGGAGACAAGTTGACCAGTATCGGCATGCCAAGCATGACAGGTGAGGATCCATCCCCTCTGAGATCCAAGATCCCGCCGGAGGTCACGATAGTTTCGATAGAGTGTTGCCTTCGACTGCTAGGATTGGAGGAGAACGCCCCATGCAAGGGCCACACCACCTGCGTGCCGCGCTGCATACGTCGCTTATCATTGCCGGGTGCGATCTTAGCATCTTTGAGGGGAAACTGGAGGTCGTTCGGGTGAGATCTTCTACTAAGTATGGGTACTTCGTGTGTTTCGAGATCTATCCACCCGGATATAACATCCAGTCTATCGTGAATGGCCCGAAGTGAGCAGATGGGGCCCACGCTGACGAGACTGAGATCTGGAGGAAGGGCGACGATGAGTCAGGCTAGTTGCATGAACTTCGTAGAAGGAGAAATGAGAAACTTGGAAGTAGTGAGTTGGAAAGGACTGCCTCAGGCTGCAGACCTCCCTGTCAGGCGCCTTCCCTTACTGAACTAGTCCCCAACCTCAGGAGGTATAGAAAATCCCACGGTATCAACCGTACAACTCCTTTACTGAGCATTCTCACTCACACGCACACACAATCTATCTTCTTCGAACTTGCCACTGGTCTCCCTCAAGGCGCTTGCGTTATATGCTTTTCGATCCTTCACTATCGTACACCGAGAAAAAGAAATACCCTTCCCCATCACCGCCGACTGCTGTCGAGGGATGGATGCCCGAGAAACACCTTCTCTTTGCTGAGAAGCGCTCAGTCTCCCCTCAACTGATAGCGCGCGCCTCATCCACCCGCCCCCAACCGGTGTCACGGACCCATCAATTCCCATTTTCCAATTCAGAAAGTTGAAAACCAGAAGAGACAAGACATGAGAGTTCCCGGAGATCAAGCACGTCGTGATATTTTCCTCCCCCCCCCCCTCCTCGGAAGCGGGTGGCCTCTCTTCTTCTCTCTCTTCTGTTATCCCCGGAAGGTAGAACAAAACGAAAATTCCCGCCAAGAAATGGTATTGAGATCTGAGTGTCAGAAATTGTTCACTGATCTTCGTCCTCATTAGCAGGAAGTTTAATTTTCACGGTTCTCAGGAGGACGCCTCACACTTTGTTCAAATCAGCCGACGGGAGTTCCGCAGATGTGGCAGTTCTTGCCAGGGATGACCCAGACTTCTTTGCCCTGCTTGGCGCAGGTCGGGCAACGCGCTCCTGGCATCTATTTTGAGGGGAATTGGTGTCAGAGATCATGATGCACGAATCATAATCATAAGGCTTTTCTCGGAAAAACTCACAGTCATTGTGATTGATGTGTTGATAGGGTCGAGTTTGCGACAGGCGCGTGACGATGAGAAGATGGTGACTGGAAAAAATATGGTCTCAGGTTTGAGGGCTTAGATGGAAGATATTGAAGGTGAGCTTTCACTGAACAATTGGGTAAGAAAGTGTGCGTGCTTTGCTTGGATAAGTATGTGGTTTGACTGATGAGTATACAGCCCGATGGTAGGTGCCCTGCTGCTCTTTATATACCTCGTTATGGGATGGGCTTATTGGCTTTCTCAAACATCCGTTAGACCAGGAGACACTCTGTGTATCCATCGGGAGATCATCACTCTAGCCCGGACCTGTCGATTGGAGACACGACTAAAATTAAAAATTATGCATCCAAGGTACCAATCTACATGGACCCTGGTGGGCAACAAACATGTCATGTCGGCCGCATTGATTATCCAAGTTACTCGGATCTTCCCGTTCATGTCTTGCATTGCTCAACCCGGCCAATGAGAACATCATTTCGAAGCGATTTCAGCTGGGAACTTGCGATGCGTGATAGATCCATGTTCAGCTATCCCTGATGTGACTAGTGATCATGAGAAGCGCTGGGCAATCAAAAGTTGAAAACAAAAAAGCCAAATCGAAAAATCTCCAGGGAGAGGAAAAAGAAAAGCGCCACCTGTGAAACGCGAAATGGCAACCGTTAATTCATCCAGATAGTGGAAACTCGGTATTCGGTATTCTCCACTCGGACTTGCGACTTGCACTTGTGACTGGTGCGTGACTGGTGCAAATACATTGATATCCCGCTCAACAAATCTATACATAGCTATCAGAACCCAGCGATACTGGGTGTTTGCAATCCAGAATGAGCTTCAGATGCTTGACCGCCTATGACTGACAGTGTATAGGTCACACTTCATCTAATTCGATGTTCGGAGCTAGCGAGTTGAGAGACTTGGCGCCGATTGCGATGAATTGATGGCACAGCTGGGCAGCAGTTTTGTACTGTATTCCAATGGATGTCCGAGTATCACCAACCGTAACTGACGTGCTCAAAGTCCTTCCTGAAACGTCTAATGAACAATCGCTCCTCCGCAACGGCCACACTCACACTGCCCAAATCTGATTGATACTCTCGATGCGTTGCTGAACGGTGAGCGGCAGAAAGCGTCGTGGCTGAAAACCTCATCAAGCTAGGTCAGATTTACCGGGTTTGTCAGGCAAGACATGGGGTTTGCGACACCTGGTCCCACAATGGAGGGCCTGGCTTCGCTAACTGCGCCTAACCCAAGGAATGCCGAGTAGGATGAAGTTCGGTGCTTCACATTGAGCTATCTCTCCTCTGTGCCTGGATAGCGCATTCGACAAGTGATGTTACCAGAGTCAGCTATTATTGCTGTTTGCTTGCTCATTGTCTTTGTCGTCATTCAGCCCCTGCGATTTGTTACTGCAAACCAGAATTAATCGACGGGATCGCGGGTAGATGGGCCAATGATCGAAACGGATCAGCTACATTGGACAACCAGTTTCTTGGGACGAGAGGGAAACCTGGATATTGCTCAGTTCTATACACTATCATGGCAGTAAGAACGCATAGGGGTGCATCTCCAAAGGCCCGCCCTCCTTTGTTGTTGTTGGCGGTCTCAACGCTCGTCTATCATTTTCTTTGTTTGATGTCCCCACTCGGGCTTTCTCCTATCTCCCTTTATTTATTAACCATTTTTGTTCTTCTATTTCTTCTTTCTTGTTTTGCCTTCTTGGCTACCCAGTCCGATCCTGTTTCCAATTGCGACCGAGAGATATTGGTATGGAGTGAAGGAGCCCGAGAAGACCGATCTTATGCCATCCATGTCTTGCATCCCGCCGACGATGCTTCGCTGGTGGAGCGTTGACAAGTGAAAGTGAACCTTATCGCAACCGGGGAATCTCGCATTCTCGCACTCCACAGCAGGTTCTGATCGGTCTCTCTCTCTTAAATCTCAGCCATTGGTCTCAAAAAGCTGCGTGACCGGTGCTACGCAGCTCCGGTGTTACTAGTACCACTTATCTGGCGCAGCACCTTCGATTGCAATCGGATACATAAACTGTGGGGCCGTTGAACTTATTCGCTTGCCCCATCGGATGACAGGAGATCGTCGATCGAGGATGTTTGTTGTGCCTTAATCCTGTTTTTTTTTTTCTCACCCTTACGCGAACGGCACAGGCAGCTAGACAGTTCACAAAGGGCGCTGGAGATTGAGTCTTTCAAGCAGTCCATTTGCTTGATTGAATTGGTCGACTCCCGCAACTAGTGCAGAGTTGCCTGTCACACTAAGTCGGCAAACCCCAATACCAGCCCCCTCAACCCCAAAAGCGGCACTTCTGATATTGGTCAAATCTGACCTGTCACTTTTTGTTTTATGTTGTTCTCTTTCTCTCCGCACACCCCTCTCGGTTTTTTCCCAACTCTCCAGTCAAAGACTGAGAACGGGTTGCTTTTGCTCCCCTTCCCAGAAGGATTGTCCACTCTTGCCTCAATCAATCTTACCCCTCCTCCTAATCTTTCTTGCTCGAGGTCTATCGCTCCTCTTTTTGAGTTCCCTCGTATTTGATCGCGCACGCAAAGTTTCATCATCTACACCCCCCCCGTTGACCCCTCCCCCTCTCTCTCCCCCGCGCAAACGGAGGGAAAATGGACTAAATTTGCTGTGATTTCTCAATCTTCCATCAACCAGCACATCTCGATCACCTCTTCACGATTCAAACACAGTAGTGCGGAAGCAGCGACAACTGCAGCCAATCCGAGGCTGGCATTCCACACCTTGGAGGGGCGCCACACCGCAAGTTTAACCATGAAAGACACTGCATTTAACCTTCCGTACTCGATGCAGAATCTCCCCAAGTGCCCGCAGCTCTGGTCATTCTTCACTCTGTGAATCACGGTTGAGCCCCGGAAGGGGGTTTGGTGGGGAGTATTCTTTTCTTTTCTTTTTTCTTTCCTTGGCGGCACTTTATGATTGATGGACAGTGTATCTTGCATATGCCTGCAAGCGCTTGACGTTCTCAATATGCATGCCAATTTACATCATAAAGAGCCGTCTACTTGTGTTGTCCCAGATCAGAGAACAGCTCACTTCATCCGTCCCCTTCCTGTGGGGAACGGCTGCCATGCGCATTTACACTGCAGTTGTCACTTCTTTGTTTGGCATCTGACACTTCAGGCATGATCATGTAGGGATTGGTCAAGAGGTGGGATACAGATCACAGTAGAGCCTACCAGCAGCTTGCTCTCCGAGTCATTGCGCTTTCTGGGCATGTCGCACCGCGAGGCACAACTCGTTTGACCCCTACACAAGGAACCTGACTGGATAATCTTCGGCATGTGGCTTGCGCCCAATGGCCATGTGCGGTTATAGTACCCTACTTTCTCGGTGTATCTCGGGAGAAAACGCCATCTGGAAGGCTGTATACCTAGCTTATCGTCTATTGGCAGGGGTTGATCACCGCACTATCATCGCTGATGCGCCACCCCGAACAATTCCTTTGTAGCCCCAATGTTACCATGCCTGCAGTCGCTACTAGTGATAGTGATTAGGTATAACCCCGGTCGCAAGCGCATGGTCAGCAAAGCAGCACTGGCGTAGCCCCTGTCACCTTCAACACATCACAGAAAGAGAGTTACCCCCGTTGTGCATCTCCTTCTAGCCGCGTGCATCTTCGATATGCTCATCGGAGACCCTCGACGTGATGCTCTCATGGCCCTTTTCTTTGCCGGGCTGGACAACCTGGCTCACCTGGGAGACGACAACGTGCGATGGCGCGGTCCGGTGTCTCTTCCTCTCCTTCACAAGCTCCTTGGACGCTTGCACCGCGCTCTTGTCCGGATTGGTGAACAAGTAATCTATTTCTTCAAGGGTAAAGTTGGCTGTCTCGGGATAGCAGAAGTAGATCAGCGGGACAAAGGCCAAGTTCGTACACATGAAGATGAGGTAGGCTTTCCACTGCAGGCGATTGATAATGATCGGCGTAATCATGACGACGAAGAAGTTCTTTCATCCAGCACCACCATCAGTATGGATTTCGGGGGCCCGCATCGTGGGTTGCTAATTTGGAGAAAAATGTGACTTACCCAAATCCAGTTGGACGAGATCCCGATAGCCGTGCCCTTCGCGCGCGCATGCAGAGGCAAGATCTCCGGAACATAGCACCATGGGATGCAGTTGACGGAGGCACCGAAGATGAGCATGTAGAGGAAGAAGAAAGCCACCGCCGCGGACGAGGTCGCGTGCTCGTTGGCGTGGCCTTTGAAGCTGAGCAGGACGGACACCATCATCATGCAAATCCCCAGGCCGAATGAGCCCCAAATCATGGGCGCTCGGCGACCGACCCGGTCGACGAAGAAGGTCGGGAATATACTGCCCACCACGAACATGATCTGGACACAGCCTCCCAGGATCATGGAGAGGTTCTTGCTGAGGCCGACGTTGCTGTTCAGCACGGTGGGGATGAAATAGCTGAGGACTTTTGTTAGCCTGGGAAATCTGCGAACTCGAGACCTGGGGATGTGTGGATTAGATCATACACGACGAGATTGATGCCGCCGACTTGGTTCATGAATTGCATCCCGTAGGCAAGAAGACTTGTGACCGGCGGATTAGATTACACACCGGTAATTTTGAAGGAGATCAGACTTACACTCGATGGCCTGTTGAGACCTTGTCATGTTTGAGGATGTTTCTGTAAGGGTTAGCAGGGTGCCGCCCCCGCCCCGAATCGTGTCTACGAGAACATACCTCCACTGGAACTCACCATGCTGCGTCTCCACGGCAAGGGCTTCCAGAATCTCCGCCTGCTCGGCAAGGATCTTCGGGTCATCTTTCGGACGACCGTAAACATCACTGAGGATTTGCAGTGCTTCGTCGCGACGACCTTCCTTGTAGCAGTATCTCGGAGACTCGGGCAACCCGAACACGAGGATTACCACCACCTTATCCGAGCGTCAGTCTTGCGTCTCGGTCCCTGAATGAGAACAGGATCACTCACAAACGCAAAGAGCATCTGGCATGCAATAGGAAGTCTCCAAGCGACTTGACCGCCGACGAATCCCATACCATAGTCGAAGAAGTAACTGCATGTAGCCTTAGCATGAAGAAAGAATAGCCTGCAATGGCCCCCGGTCAAAGCGACTTGACTTACCTGATGACAATTCCCACACCCACTAAGAGGGGTTCGCTGCAGACAAGCCGCCCGCGCTTGTTGGCCTCACATAGTTCTGCCTGGTACATGGGCACTGTGGATGTCTCGATCCCAGTGCCAATGCCCGTGACAAAGCGACCGATCATCAGATGCGGTACTGAGAAGGCGGAGCATTGCAGAGTAGCTCCAATCTGTCGGGAGGTTAATCGACCATCATCATCTTCATCAGCTCATGAGCGATTCCCGCCCCATGGATGAAGGAGACACTCCGGGACCGGAACGAGAGCCTACTTACTATGACCCAGACCATAGCAAACCACATTGCTCTGCGTCTTCCCAGCCGTTCTGCCAGCATGAAGTTGACGAGACAGCCGGCAAAGCAGCCCAGGTTGTAAATGGAGACAATGATGCCTGTGAGGCTGTCATTGGGATGATTCATGGTGTCGAGGAAGTCATCGTTCTCCACGATCCCGGAGAAGACACCCTGATCGTAACCTGGAGGAGAAGATAGGTGAGTTAGAAGTCCGGCTAAGCTGCTGCTGTTGAAACTGACGAGTCTCTTGACTTACCAAAGAGGATGAAGGCCATTCCACAGGCTGCCCAGATGGCGGCTTGCAGGGTGAAGCCTGTCCCAAACATATTGATCTGCACCATTTTGCTCCTGTATTGCTTGCAATTATATGTAAATGTTCACAAGACATCGCGTCTGATCGCGTGTGAGGTGAGTGGCTGAATGCAAGGTATATATGTACTAGCCGCCATGGAAGGGAACACCCAGTGGCGTTTTGCTACCAGCCATTTGGACCAGCATGTTAGGCGATTAACCTAGCAAGAGACCGATCTATCCCGCTCTATGGAGAGCAATTGATCTCGTCATCGATGGCTGGTAAGTCGGACGAGAGAAGCCAAGAAGACGGAAGTAACATCGATCATCCATGATGATTCGAGCCGAGATAGAAGAGTCGGTCACGGGATGTCCCGATCGGGCAAGGGGAGGCTACGGCAACCGAATGTTACCCCGGAGTGCTGCTTCAACCCCGCAATAGGACTAAACTCATCCCACAACTGTCCATGGGGGATCTGCGCTTTGGCTGACATTCCTGTCCATGTTACCTTGCGGAAGCCCAGTTCCTGATGAGAAGAACGGAAACAATTGGTGAATGTCTGAAAATCTGGGGAAAGCGAAAGCCACAAACAGCAGGTTTCCACTTCCATACCCCGCGCTGTCGATCGCACTAGAGCCGAGGTGGCCCTTTCGAGATCGGTTGTCTACCAAGGAACTTGGAAGAGAACGAACCCCTCCCAGGTTGCGTCGCAGTCTGTCTCCAGCTCAGCAGAAGCAGCAGCCTTCTCGTCTCCTGTTACATCCCTTATCGCTTGTCTAGCATGATCTAGATTGGAAAATCGGCTCCGAACCAAGGAAACCAAGGAAAGGATGGACAAGCGACCCATGCCGGTCGACCAAGCCATTGAGCCCACCCCAAAGCGGCAGCGTCTCGATGATGCTCAGCATAAGCAATCCCAGCCGCCAGAGATAGAGATCGGTCTCGGCCCCTTGATAGCTCACAATCTCACCGATCGTCCCTGCAACCCTGACGGCGCCAATCTGCACAGTTCTCCCAATTCGGGTGGTGATTGCGGCTCATTCCAATCGCCGGCGGCTGGCAGCTGGACGCAAGATGGCTTCTCACAAGACCCGGACTTTCTGGCGTCCCAGGAAGAACTGCGATGTTTCCTTTTTTCCCTAGCCAATTCGGCGGTTCCGACCCGGGCATCTAGCCCAGACGCGGCCGGAAGTGGGGACCACCTGGAACAATTGTCCCAACCCCTACCCAAGGACAGTAGGGATTCATGGCATGCTCCATTGTCTGAGGGAAGGCATATACAGTACCTCAAGAATTATGTTACTGAAGTGGCGCCATGGGTATGTCGATCTTTTTTTTGCCCTTTGATCACGCGCACTAGCTTAGCTGAGAGCTGGCCATGCTGATAACGTATTGATCAAATCTGTAGCTGGACATGTTCGACTCACAATGCACCTTCCGCCATCAGATCCCTGCTCTTGCCCAAGAATTCCCGGCTCTTTCTTATGCCATACTTGCTCTCTCAGCAAGGCAGATCGAACGTAAGAATGGCGTTCGGAATTGGTATGATAGTCTTGAACTGTACCAGGAGGCGATTCGGCGGTTGAGTCCACTTCTCCAGGTGCGCGACACGAAGGTTGTCGCAGCTTGCGTGCTTCTTTGCTGCTTGGAGATGATGTCGGCTCGGGCACAAGATTGGCGCCGTCACCTGGAGGGATGCGCCGCGTTATTCAGTGCGTTTGGTATCCACGGCTTCAGCCAGGGAGTTTTACAGGCGGTTTTCTGGTGTTATGCGAGGATGGGTGAGTCTGTCTATTTATTGCGACTGGAGCTCTCCGTGGTAGAGCAGTCATACTCCGCCGAAAGAAAACTTTTTAATGACTTGTGTCAGACCTCTGCGGTGCACTCATTTCTGATGGCACGCAAACTACACTCCTACATCCTTGCAAGTGGTTGCCTCCAGGCTGTCAAGACGAGGATGCATATCGACTTTTCCAGAGTGTCAAATCCCCGGACATGCACGCGAATTACGCAGTCTATCTGTGTATGAAGGCGACACAACTTGTTTCGGATCGCACAAAATTCGTCGAGTTGGGCGAAGACAATGGCTGTACTACCGAAGAGTTCCAGACCCGTTGGCTTCTGCTCTGGAACGGCCTCCAGTGCTGGCTGTCGGAGCGGCCAGACGAGTTGCTTCCAGTTCAGACTGTCAGCCGCAAGCCTTTCCCTCATATCTTGTTTGTCCACTGGGCTGCAATATCATCAAATCAACTTTATCACACTGCATGTATATTGCTGTTGAAAGTGCTGCCGAAGGGTGTACGGCTGCCGCGATCACCGGCCCTCTTTCCGCTATGGCATGCACGCCGAATCTGTGGTATCTCGCTGGCCAATCCACATCAAGGATGTCTGAACAATTCAATCCAGCCATTGTGGATTGCAGGTCAGCTCTTCAGTCACAGATCGGAACACAAAGAGATCATCAATCTGATCCGAGGTATCGAGGCTGAAACTGGCTGGGGAACATGTTGGCGGATCCGCGATTTGGAATCTGCTTGGGGCTGCCGATAACGTTTGCATGATGGAGCACCATGTCTATGATATCTTGCCAGGTACATCACACTACAGGCGAAGCACGTCAGACGCCATCCAGAAACGACCAGTCCTGCTGAAGATCGCTCAGATACTGGCCTATATTCCACCCAGTGTTTGAGTAGATTCGCTCAAAGCCCTGCAGAATTGCATTCTGCTGGGATTCGTGTGTCATAGTCCGCGCAGAAACGAGGAAGGAGGCGACCAGACAAGGATCCCAGCAGTCACGGCAGTCATTGTTTAGTGCAATGCCGCAAATTCGCTGAGAATGCCAGAGAGGAGAGAGATATCGAGCCTGTGGGTTGAGGAGCGCGGTGCGTGGCTTGCATTGCAGAAGCAAGAGCGCAGCGGTGTGATAGAGCTGGTTGCAGTATGCACCCACTCCATTAGCAAAGACTACCAGAGGAAACCCGCTTCCTGTATTTGAGATATGGTCATCGCCCTCTAGCTCAACCAATGGGCGAAACTCTTGTGGCCGTGAAGCATACCACCGGTCGAGTTCATCGAACGCTTGGAGCCAACTGTCCAGGATCTGATGGCAACCAGGAAAGTTGCGTGGGCTGTGTTGTTCATGGCATACCATCAATGCTTTTCCAAAGAGCCAAAGAAGGACACGTGCATAAAGCGAGACTCTTTCATGAGTATCATGGGTACGTGACAGCAGTTCCAGGTTTGGCACAGGGCCGGAGGGAATTGGGATCTGAAGGGCCGTGTCATTCGCAAGCGCTACACTCAAGTCTATCTAGTATTAGCAAAATCATCCTTTGAGGGAACTTAGCACATCGGACAAACCTAGTCTGAGAAACATCCAATAAATAGATGATTCGATGTTCAAGAGCAAAGAATGTTCAAGCAGAGGCTCTAGCAAGCAGAGGTTGTCATTCTGCAAAGTGCTCCAACCGTGAGAAAGGTCGGACACTAAGAAATGCAACCTCTCTAGAATTGATAAAAGTGCCGTCTCCGTGAGTTCAGAAGCAAGCTCAGACCTAAGGTGTATAGGTCTGAGTAAAGGTCTTCCACGATTGAGTGCATTAGGCTGTTGGTGATTCTGGTGAAGGATAGATGCTTCCGATAGCGTCAGCAACGTCGACAAGATCTGCTCAGAGCGTGTCGCCATTTGAGTGACTATGATCCCAAAAGGATGTTTCAGGTCGCAGATATCTAGCTGTGACATCTCATGAGTTAGCCACGGAATTGCCTCTGCCTTCACCGACCGATAGTAGCAAATAGGTATATTTACCCAGGGAGCGACAAAATACCGATAATGACGCAAAAGTTCCAACTTCCGCTCCTCATCATCCATGATCGAAGGCGATGAACCCAGCCCAATCATCTGCGACATCCCAACAGCGACAGAGTCCTCGCGCCGTCGTGCCAGGATGCCAGTGTCTGCTTGGTTGGCTGAAGTGGCCGTCATGATGGGTGAAGAGCCCGCGATCGGCTCCGGTGTCTCGAGGTAGGAGATATCATGAACCAGCGCAAGCTGATCAGTGGCGTTTATACTCGAGCCCAGCGCAAGAAGCCCCTGAACAGCCGACGTATCCCTGTCACTAAAGAAGCCGTGGCCGCTCCCGAGCAATACCTCGTCTTCAATCAAGGGCCCATCTTCATGATGTTGACGGTCATCACCGGCGCTATCTGCTGGACCCTCTACCCGTAGAGGACTTGCATCTTCTCCACCCAAGTCCGACTGGACGTCCCCTCCCTCTTGCTTCTCCTGAGCTCGCTCATGACGAGTACCCGCCGACCGGGTACCAAAGGAAGAAGAAGAATCCAACTCCAACTCCTCTTCCTCCTCACCAACAGTATTTCCATCTACCCCATTTAAGGCCAGAGGATCCTCTTCAATGAACTAGAAACATGAGTATTAGTAAACACACACGAGTCTTTATTGGAGATTCCCAACAGAAACAAACAACACATCCCATCTAACAAGAACCGGGATGAAAGAAAGCCCCTCAACCATAAAACGCCCAAAAACCAAAATCAAAACGCACCCGCAAAGTCTGAAACCGTCTCTTCGTCGACCTCAGAGTCCGGAGTTCCTTCGCAGGCACCGTGTACGTATTCTTCGAGAGAAAAGTGACTTGCATCCCATAGCTGCAAACGAAATTCTTGTCCACGCAGTTCTGGCAGCGGGGTTTGCCTTCATCGCCTGTTTGTGTTTCCCGGAGAGAGACAAAATGTTAGCAGGGAGTCACTGCAAACGTCAAGAAGTTCAGAAATGATTGCATTAATTTGTTCCCAATTAGGCTTCCATAAGGATGGTGGTAGTAGGTAGGTGCCTAGAAAGAAAAGATAGGAAGAAGTGGGACACAAACTCACACTTGCGCCGTCGCGTGCGACATCGCAAACACCCGGTTCTGCATCTGGTAAATTTAGGCGGCGTGGGTGTCGCTTTGGTTGCTGCTGCTGCTGCTGCTGCTGCATCTGCCATGGAGACGGTTGGTTGGTTGTCAGGAGGGTACACCCTTTTGAGGTGCTGAGAATCTGGATAAATCGCTGGGCAGGAGCTGTGTAGATTTCCACCGATTCGGGTGCAGAATAGGAACAGGGAAGGGACCGTTGGATGGGGAGGAGAGGTAATCAATGAATCCAGTAGGCCTAAGCGCGGGGTAGAAAACAAACCCCCCGACTGCCGGCCGCGGGCGGCGCTTCGAGTTTCCATTTCGAGATTTACCCCAGCTTTTCCAAGTTCGCCCCAGTTCGCAAGCCGATCGGTCGGCCGGGACCACGTCATAATTGAGATGCGGTTGCAACGACACACTACACTTAGAGCTCATACGATGTTCACGTCTGCCTTTATCCTGACTGCATTGGAGAAATAACTAGCTTGTATAGTGATTAGACAGCCTAAAAGAAGGAACACCTTTGTCGCAGTGCACGGTCTCAAGCTACGCAGGAGAAAAGACTCCAAAGGGACAACCTGATCATGATCTATTTACCTCCCCTTCAAGCCAATTCTATCTCATGGAAAGCAAAAGTTGATGAATTACCAGTGTCTTCCAACTTATATCATGCAGCGCTTCGCGTGCGACCTGCTGTCAACGCGTGAGCATGGGTATAATCTCAATTCACATTCTTAACTTCGACCCGAGATGACTGTAAACTGATAGGATCAAGTCATGGTCTTCGTGATTCGGACCAGCAGAGCACCACCAGTATCCACTCCCGCGCGGTCATATATATGAACAAAACGGTAGCCATGCTGAAGTCTGCTGAGTCGTATGCACGCCCACCCAGCAAGCGAATCACGGAAGAACTCGTCATCCTTGATTTTGAACCTATCCCATGATCAGCATACAACGTCCGAAAGAACGGTCGTCAGAGAGCACATACCTGACAAAACTAAGATCCTCAACGACGTTGGGTATGGGAGGGAACTCGATCTTTTGGCCCTCGAAATCCGGATTCGACCCCGTTGCACTTTTGGTGGTTCGCTTGTAGCCGGCTTTTTCGGAGTCTGATTCATCATCGCTTGCGGAGTCGCCAGAGTCATCATCTGGAGTATCAAGATGAAGGATACAAGACACATAGGGGTGGAACTTCTTTTCGCTTGTCTGGCCTGGCGGCAGTGGCAGGTTTTGGCCGGCGATAAATTCAATGGACAGGTTGAGTTGTCGTCGTTGGACGATGATCGAGTCCGCGTCAGAGCTTCGATACCCGGGGGGCTTGAGCGCCCAGCCGTGCTCGCCTGCGAACATCCCGTGATTGAGCATCATTCCCTTGTCGAGATTCTGCCAATTCAATGCTACCATCTGGGCGCCGCGCCGCCAGAAGAAACCGGGGTCCATATTGGAGGACCCTAGACGAAGCCCTTTGGGGTATACGCGCATGAAGAAGTGGCGGTTGTGCTCGAATAGCGCATTAGGGTCCTTGATATGTGCCTCTCGTACTGCATTCTCCGAGAGAGAAAATACGTGACTTGGCACTTTGGCCTCTGTGGTGTTTCAAAGTGAATAACAATTCATGGAAAGCAAGTGGATCAATCTTAACATACCTGGCTGCTTAAAGCCCTTGAAGTGGAAACCTTTGGTGAAAACGGCCAGCTTGCTCAGAGCATGCACGATCTTCGACGGTTTGTGGGGAGCCGAAGCAGGGGCTTCAGGCGTCTCAGGAGATGTGCTCGCGGGGCCTAGTGGTGTGCCTTGCTGTTTGAGCGTCTGAACATGCTTCAGATATACTTGCTTCTCCTCTTCTTCCGGGTCCTCGTGCTTGTCCACGCTGTCTGGGGCAACGTATTTCACCTTGATGAGAATTTTCCGCTTCAGCTCCTCCAGGGGCGGCGGCGTCTTGGTCGCTTCAATCTCAGGCGTCACTTCGATCAACATCCCCTTCCACGCCTCTTCCATAATCTCCACCATGGTGTGCTGCTGTTCATGACAGGCATGCACCTCAAGACTCACAATCACCGGCAGGTCGCTGGTCACAAACGCGCTATCGCGGATGGCGTAGCATACATCTCGAAAACTGGCCTCCTTGGTGAGGGTGTGGCCGTGGAGGACGCGCGGCTCTGGACGTGCCGGAACCTGAGCTGTTTCTTCGGGTGGCATTTCCGTCGTTGGAGGCTTGCTTCCAGACGACGACGATCGATGATGACCCAAGAAGCCCTCTAACTTGCCGACTTCTTCGGAAATCGCGTGAAGACGCGGGTGGCTCTCGGTCGCTTTTCTGAGTCTCTCCATCTTCGACTTGCGACGGCGAGGCAACTGGGGCCTAGCGGCGCTTTCATCAGAGCTCGAGTCATCGCTACTACTGCTGCTGCTACTGCTGCTACTGGTGTCTTCGTCCTGCGAGCTCTCGGAGCTGCCCTTCCCGTCCCAGATGTCAATCTCGACACATCTTCCTCCGCGAAGCAATACCTAAGACAAATCAGCTGTCTGCTTTTCTTTCGCGTCAAGGCAGAGTCGCTTGGTATCGATGATGGCTCAACGTAAGATGGAACATCGTGCGAATACATTTATACAGTATTGACGCGAGTTCCCCTCTTACAGTTGGCTTTTGAACGCAACGAAAAGAATGACCGGTCCAAAGGGGCAACGTACATTGGTATAGGCACTCGCATCCGAGTCGCTATAAAGCTGATTGCCTGTCAAGTACGTATTATGACTGGAGGAGATATAGTAGTCTGTGATTGGAGCTGAGAGATCAGGCCGATCGACCGGCTTCAAGGCAGAAGCCGCGGGACTCGCCATGTAAGCATAGAATGCTGGCAAGGATGCCAGGGGATTTGCGCCTTCCTTGTCACTTGCATCTCGCGTGCGAGTCTCCTGTTGAATCTCCGTGACAAAGTCTGGCTGGGACAATGAAGTCAACGAGCTGTAGATTTTGTCCAGGTATGTGAGGACCGGAGGTGAGAAGGTGGGTTTGGTCTCCGGTTTGGCCACGGGCTGCGATGAGTCCAGAGTGACATTGCTGGTCTGTTCTGTGATTCCGACCATCCCTGTCTTTCCGTTGTGTTGTCCTTGTTGTCCCAGCCTAGATTGTAGCCTGGTCCACACCGACTGGTTGTGATGCTTGCGGGCCGTGGTTGAAGGTGGGGGAGGGTTCAAGAGCACTCGGATCGGAATGAGCCAAAAATAGCCGGCCGTGTGTAGAACGCGGGGGGAGGCTCAGGACAGCGGAATCAATGAAATGGAAGATACAACTGAGGAGAAACCAAGTAGCAGGAATTGCTGGGAGTAAGGCTGGTGGAAGAAAGTTCCGACTTGTTGTTTTTTTTTGGGTGTTGTCCGTGAGAGTTTTGGTTCTCCACGTGAAGTGGAGACGAGTTGTTTCAACCTTCAAAACTAACTTTTGTTAACTGGCCTTATAAGGATAAGGCTACTACTAGCTCTTCCTTTGCATTTTTTTCACCCCAACTTTTCTGAGGATGCGGTATGACTGATGTTGCTAATGACGTCTACTTTGACTTCCAAGCCGAAGCAGCAAAGAGAGCAGACAATCAGGCATCCGGAGTGCTGCAAGGCTGCCTGTCCAAATGCAATACCTTTCGAGGTGGGTGCGGGGCATTTTTCAGCACTGACGCTTTCTTTCTGCCTTGTCTTGCAGGCAAAAAGACTGCCCAGATCGATATGATCTGTCTGCTGCATGATCCAGCCAGAATATCTCTCCTTCTCTTTTCTGCCGAATTCTACGCATTCCTCAAGCAGTTCAGGGTAGGAGTCCACGATGCCAGCAGTGGTGCAAAGTAAAGTAGCGGTGAAGAATCAATCACGGGGTGACTCCCGACGGGTCGGTGGCAGGTCGCATTGAAGTCGCAAAAGACGATACAGTAGATGGATGGATCATGACTTCCACACTCATTCTCCAATAACATACTCACATCCCACTGGTCCAATCCACACCTCATGTACTTTTCCCGCCGGCACATCTAACCTCGCGCCCACGCCGCACGTCTCCTTCTTGACCTCTCCTCCATGGATCGCAGCATTATCCTCCGGGTACGTGATGGTCAGACTCCCTTGGCGGATCAGATGGGTCGTCAACCCAGAGTGCGAATGAGGCGGGTAGTGCGCATTGCTGGATGACGGTTTTCATCAGCGGATCGCATATTCAGCATATCGGACTTGTGTCGTCGCTGGTAGGGTAGACATACCTCCCATCTGTCCAGGTGAAGACATGGCTAAATCCCCAATCCCGGACCATGCGCTCGGATTCTTTGCGGCTGCCGATGGGGTAGGTCTCAAGCTCGGGTGCAGTCATTGTGCGCTGAAACCTCTTCTTCTCCCTTGTACTCCGTCCAAGAGGGTCGTGTTTGGAGGTAGGTTTGATCTCTCCTTCGAGTTGCAATAAGAGCGGGGAAGACGATCGATGGCAATGACGTCGTTGCGGTCTCGCATCACGTGGTTTTTTTTGTCTTGACAAATCAGATCGAGACAAGAATGATCCTTTTAGTCCACTGATGTACATTTATGCTACTATTTATGATGCTTTCAATGAGGACGGTTTCCAATTGAATAATTCTCAACGCTCTTGGTGTGTGTAGTCTATCAAGGAAAGTAGAGTTCCGCCAATCATCGCCCCAATGCTGTGACTTTTATACAACCAGGAGAAAGAGTGTGCAAACAAGCATGTGTGGTTGAATCGCAACGTCTTCTTGGAGATAGTAAAAGAGCTGTATGGGAAGTGGGGAGTGATATCGAAGCTATGCGAGGGAAACACAAAAACAAAACATTGACACATGATTATATGTACAACAAATAAGGATATTTATTTTGACGAAAAGAGCAACAAGTATTGACAAGATCGGATACAATGAATCGAGCCAGGAACAAACAGGGTATAAGATCGAGCTGCAGCGGCATCAAAAGAGAGAGACAACCTGTCATTCAGACATTGTTGCCACTGTCGAGACCCCGGAAGTAGCTGGACTGGAGAAACTCGTCACGCATGACCAAACTCACGTCCGAGTTACGGTACTGCCGTAGGTCCTCGCGTTGAAGTCCACGCAGTTGCTCTCGACCAGCCGTAGAGAGTGAGTGAGTGCGGGAGTGATGCCCGTTGCGATTGAGTACGGGGGAGAGCCGGCCGGTTGGGGAAAGGTGACCGTTGGACGACTTGTTACCCGTGAGCCCAGACCAGGAGAGGGTTTGACGAGGCGCAAAGACAGGCAAAGAGGCATTGCTCGGGAGAGGGAGGAAGGAGCTAGCGTCGGTAGAAGCATTGCTCAGGCTTGACCGGATGGACGACGGGCGTTGATTCGCATTCAGCATAGGGAAGTTGGACACGGAGCTGTAGAAGCTTGACATGCCGGACGCAGCGGACGAGCGCCAGGAGTTCACTGCGCTGCGTGGGATGGTAATAACTTCTTCGTCAATTGGCATAGTTTGCTGCAGAGCGGTGGCAACATCAGCGGGCTCGCTAAGACTAGCGTGGGGGCGGCTAGCCATGATCTTAGCGGACTTTCCGATCCAGAGCATCTGCTCATGCTCACGCAGGTACCGATCACCACTGAAGGACTTCTGCACAATCTTGCGAGTCATCATACCCAGCTTGCGGCGGTGTTCGCTCTTATCGTACATGCGACGCGTGATCTTAGCAACATCCTCCGGGGTAGGTGCAGAAGTCAAGACAGGAGGTGCCTCGGTATCGTCGGCAAATTTACTCCATTCCCCAAGAAGTCCAAGCATGGTGATCTGCGCGCGGGCGAGAGCCAAGGCATCGTTCGGTGCAACCACGGCGCTGAAGCGGGAGAAGTCATCGGGGTCACTCAACACACGCAGGGAAGCTCCGACATCAGTACAGACAACGGGTGCACCGGTAAGAGCAGCCTCGCCAAGCGCCAGCGGTAAACCTTCAGACAAAGACGAGTTCAGGAAGAGCCAAGTATTCTCCAGCACCTTCATCGGGTCAGCAGTACCACGCAAAGTGACTCGACCACGAAGTCCCTTCGAAGCAATGATCTCTTGGCATTCTGTGGAATATGTTGGGGCCTTGTCGATAGCACCGTAAATGTCCAAATGGTAGTCATCAAACTTCCATTGATTGATGATGATATCCGCGGCAAGGAGCGCTGTCTTGATATCCTTGGCGTACCAAACGTGGGACAGCATAGTGACTGTAGGGCGCTGCGATTTGATCTCCTTAACTGGAGCAAACTTCTGCATGTCGGTGATACCGTTGACCACGGGATCAACCTTGCGACGGAAGACATTGCGATGCTCAATGGTTCCTTGACAGGTACCAATTTCGACTTCCCAGCCTGGGTTGAAGAAGTCGGCACATGGCAGGATGATATCAGCGTGGTGCAGCGTGAGAACCGATGTGACTCGCATCAAGCCCAGAAGAGCATTGCGAACAAAAGGCGAAAGCTTGCAGAGGGCAGAAGAAAGACAGAGATTCGTCTCACGCCAGCTGATGGCATGGTCCCAGATTTGCAATGTACAGTTTCTCTTGATCTTGCAGACAACTCCATATGACGCACTGACGCTGTGATGTGATGCCTGGAAAACATTGGGAATCTTTTCAGGGATCGGAATGGAGAAGATGAAGAGGTAGCGATACCAGAGCTCAAGGGCGATGTCGAGAGATGCCAAGGTGGGAAGCTCAGTGTCGTACCATTCTGACGAAGGGGTTGCATTGGGCATCTCCTGAGTCAGCCAGAGATCGCGCCAGCTCTCCTTCACAATTTCACTGTCCCAGATCTGAGTCCAATGACGCGAGTCTTGGAAATAGGTATTAAGGTTCACCAAGGCTCTAGTTGCCTGTTGGATATCAGCCTTGGAAAGGTGGATAGCACGGGCTCCCTTCACCAAGGCCGTCAAGATAGGGATGAAGTTCATTTTGATGTCCATCTCGCTGGCGGAAGTGACGTTTTCGACCTCGGAGTCAAGTTTGTTCTTGAAGAGACCATGCGTGGGCGTGAGGAAGTCGAGACCCCAAAGAGGAACCACTTTCAGTGACAAGATGTTCTGCTCTGTCTGATGCTTGGGAACACCAAAGTCGTTTGCAGATTCGCAGATCATATGCCACTTGATCGTCCGCAGGGAATTGATCATATCACGGCGGCAAGCGGAAACACCACCTCCTTCGTTTGGCCAGGTACCATTGTCCGCAGCCATGACGTGCAGTGATTTCTCGGTATCAGAGCCAAAGTCCTTAGATCTTGTGTTGACAACAGCATCACCGCCTGGTCCGAAGTTGAACAGATCACTAATCTTGACAGCCAAGGGAGTCCAACTGGAGATGTTGTCGTCCAGGTCTGCGCTGGCCGTAATTGTATCGGCGCGTAAGTCCAGATATTTCTTGGCTGAGGCAAGATCACCGCGATCTCTGCTGCGCCAGTAAGGAGCAAGCGTCTTGTCTCTTCTCAGTAGGCGTTCGTCCATCCACCGAACAATAATGCCGTCGAAGTCCACGCGGTCCTTCCAAGCCTTCCAGATCAACGAACGTGCACGAGAAGTGGACACGGGAAAGCGCTTCGTTGTCAAACCGAAGAACCGGGTAAGAATACTTGAACTCAGACTGTCACAATACAAAAGAGGATTGTCATGCACAAAGCTGGTGTATCGGGGTTTGGCCAGTACAGCGAGGTAGTCATGCTCGATCATGGGTGGGGTCTGAATTTTCTGTCCGTTGAGTGTGGTAAAGATCGTGGGATGAAACTTGTGATCGTAAAGCCAGCGAGACTCGTAGACGTCCGCACCTTGAACAAACGAGGCCTCCGTCACCTTGGAATGAGGTATCCAGCGATCAATCTTCTGGGGATGGCGCAGAGGAGGCGCACACCAAGAGACAGTACAGGTGATATGCGAGAGAGCGAACTCGGCCCGAAGCAACTCATCTCCAAACCGAGGATTCTTGCGATAATGATACTTGAACCGAATCAGATTGCCGTCCTTCATGTAGGATCCTGCTTCGATGAGGCCCTTCTTGTTGTATTGCACGCTCTGAAGATGATTTTCTCCGCGCACACAGCGGCGTCCCATTGGAACCTTGGCAGAAGACAGCTTGGACAAGGAGAATCCCTTCTTGGACGGGGCACGGTAGTCATAATGATACTCATTGATCACCTTCCCACCTTTGAATTCTTGTCTGACCATGAGTAGCATATCCTTGGAATATACGCAGATGTAGCTGAGACTCTTCGTGCCTTCCGGCTCGGCCTTGTGCTGTCCCGCGTAGTAGTAGATCTTGAACCCTCCATCAGCTTCATCGTGCTTGAAAGCAGAGAATGTTCCATCCAAGCTCTGAATAACAAAGCGGCTCTTCTTGATGCTGATAGTCATTCCTTTCGTCTCATCCCAGAGCTGTTTCACATTGCTGCGGCCGTGAAACAGAAAGAATGAGAGGCCTAGATTCTGCACGATCCTCGAATACGACCAAATCGAGCTCAAGGCCAGGGTGGCTGGTACACGAATGATAGCATGACGCTGACTCATGACATGGTCGAATTCTCGCTGGAATTCAGGATCAGCGATGAGAGCAACAACGATAAACTTGATCGTTGATGCCAATGAATAATAGAGTGAGTGCCAGGGTTTTGCAAAAAGATGAATGATTGCAGGGAGCCTCTTGGAGACATAAGGGATGTAGTCTGGAGTCTCTGGATCTTGGAACACAACAGCTTCGCCTGTGCCATAGTGTGCATAATCGAGAATGCTGACAGCGGTAGCAGCACCAAGGTTGCAGCGCGCCACATGCACATCAAGATCCTCCGTATCGAACTGGCAAAGACGCCCTTCAAGCCATTTCCGATCCTCGCTTGACAGCTGACAAGGCTGGCCAAGGCAACGGTTCAAGAGAGAGTTTCTGATGTCCTTGGGAAGCTTTTCCCAATGAGCATCACACTCAAAGCCAAGGCACAGGTGTTTGAGTAGTTCCTTCTTAGCCCAGCGAATAACGACCGCGGTGTTAGATTCCGCTCGCAGCTGGCGAGCCATAGTCTCAGTCACACCGGCGGTGACGAGAGACTCGGACAGAATAGCATACTCGTGAGGGATGTGCAGCATTGATTCGGCGACGGCGTGAAGCAATGTTTCAGCAATGACTTGGCAATTGGCACTGACATCAATGCGCTGATCGAGTCCACGTCCAACACCAATGGCAATGCTGAGGTGTGTCGTTGTGCTGCAGCTGAGCGCGTGAATGCCAGGGCCCAGTGACCCAGACGGCACAAGCTCCACGGTAATTTCTCCTTTTCCCCACGCCCCAAGGGCAAGACTGATCAATTCCTCTGCTCTTGGGAAAGCATCCTCGATTCTAGGTTCCTTTCTGCGAGAAAGCAAGATTTCCTTGACTTCGACACCGGGATGATTTTGTGGCTCCAGTTTCAAGCGCGCGTCCGAAGGTATTTGTGCGATTTTCTCGTGGAATGTTTGCAGTTCTTGCTGGGACCACTCGGGGTCGGCCCATGGAGCCGTGTAGGCATGGAAAGTCTTTCCCAATTCGACAGGTGAGTCAACCTTCTTGGGCATCCCCATCTTCGCAGAGAAAAGGGAGAGGAAAGCGACTGTCCAAGTGGCCGAGCCTAATCCGATTACTTGAGAGTAGGGGAAATGCGGGAGACAGACTTTGAGGGCGATTCCCAAAGGTAAGCCGACAGCGCATCCAAGAAGAAGGGTCTTGAAAGCATGAGGACCAGTGAATATTTTGGTATACTGATACCAAAGCAACCCAGTGTAAGCCAAAATGTACGCGCAGAACGTAATCATGGCTTCGACAGAGGACTGGAAAGTCCACAGAAGGGCTGTAGCAAGCGCAAGACTCCATACATGCCACATAAGGAATCTGAACAGAACTCTCCAGTAGACCTTCCTCTTGAATCGTACGTCCCGCTTCTGCGTCGCACGGATGTCCTTTGACATAGGGACAGCTACGGACGAGTGCTGGCCAACGAGGTCGTGTAATTCTTGGGCTTTGGTGTCAATGAGAACAGCACCAATCAAGTAATAAGCCAGGCCGAATCCCACGGCCATTCTCTGCGACTCATTGTCAGCAGCGGACAGCAAGCCATTGCCATGTCCGCCAGACAGAAGTTGCACCCACTTGTCCAGGAGAGCCACGACAAAGTACAGAACACCACAGCCAATCTCTCTGCTCGATTGTCGCCATTGAATGAAAGCGTTGTGCAATCGAATGCCCTTCTGGGAGTTCCTGAGCACATCCAGGCCGACTTTGGTTTGGATATTCCAAGACGAGCTGAACGGAATCGGCCTGGGTACATCCGCGTATCTGCAGTACCAGTCCAAGAGAAAATTGGTAGCATCCCAATCTCTAGCCAATTCAAGAACCAGGGTATCCGTTGTGGGCTTCTTATAGAAGTGGCGGTTCTTCTCCGCCATCACGTCCCTCAGAAGCGCTTCTCTGGACAGTTTTAACACGGCCGGGTCGCTGAGGTTTCCAAAGACTTTCTCGTCATTGTTACCATAAGTAGCAACATACCACTTGCGGATCTCTGTGTCATCGGTTCTTCTCAAGCTCTGGTACCAGGTGACCCACTTAGAGGCGATAGACCGAAGGCCAAAGAGTAGGACTATGATAAAGACATAGATGACCGCGAGGTAGATGGCTGAATCATGGCCGGTGAAAGTTGTCACGATGGGCGAGATGAACAGAATTGGAACACACGCGAAGATGATTTTGCGGCCTGATAGGAAAGTGGAGCCGGGATAGCTGAAACTGGCGAGGGAGGCAAAGCTTGAGAAATAGATCGTCAATGCGATCAGATACAGGTAGAAGATAATTCCGGCCCGTGCGCTCTCCGTGGCAGAAATGGCGATGAACCCAATGAGACCACCGGCGACCGTGAAAGCAATTCCGGCAATCAATCGGATGAGGACAAACATGTTGGCGGCGGCGAATGCCATTGAGATCAGATAATAGGGACCTCCACAAGCGATCCACGTGCCGATAGCACCGGACAACAAGAGCGAAATCATTAGAGCGATGGTAGCACTCTGCTGCTCATCATAAGTCATGTAGGCAGAAAGATACAGCCCGCGCCCGATAATGGTGAGCAAGAGGATATCGATCAGCGCAGGGAAAGCGAAGACACTGAGAAATGTGAATCGCTGATAGCCACGCATAGGCTTGACCTTATCGGCTGGATTCACATCGATCTGTGCGCCAGCGTACGATGTAGCCATATCAGGAGCACCATTGATCCAATTTGGCAGCTTTTCGTTCGTATAGCTCTTGCGGAATCGGTTTGACAGCAGCTTTCCAAAAGCACTGGGAACCATGTCGAAGTAGGCTTCACAACGCGATCCAAGAGCGAACGATTCAGCGAAAGCAGCGGCTTGATCGGATTGATTGTTGAAGAGTGGGTTCCGGTCGGTCACTTCGGTGTAAATTTCATCCAAGGCGCCCTTTCTTGCTGCACAGAACAATGCGAGGGCCAGCATGTCCGTGTAAGCATCAATAGAAGGGTTTTGGACAAGCTGGCACAAAGCTTCAGAAATCTGAGCAAGTTCAAGCTCTTTTCGCTCGCGTAGTATATTGTTGAAGACATATTCGGCCTCTTTGAATAAGGCGAGGCAGAGTGTCGGGGAAGGAAATTGGCAACCTTGCTCCTTGTACCAAGTGAGACGGGTATCTACCACCATTTCTAGGGTAGCGGATCCCTCGAGATAGGCAGTAGTGTTCAGCTCCTTGAGCTGGGCCAGAGAAGGCATATCTATAAGTTGTCTACGGATATAAGCACAAATTTCTTCGGACATAGGCCTTGGGGCGTCAGTCAAAGACAGATGTTGCAACAAGAGGAGTCGCTCTTCGGGGCTCAAGGCATCGATATCCTGCACAATGCGGCGGGGTAAACCCACGTCTTCGACAAGGTCCTTTGACCATTGCGCCAAAGCGGTTTCTGCCTCAAAGCAGATGTGGCGTGGGAATCCCTTTGCCGACAAGAATGTGTGCAAGACGGTACCCGTAAGACCTTGAGCATTCTTTGATGCAAATATATCGACCCCATCTGCATCCATCTGGTAGACAGCCCAGAAGCGAACATCGGTACTTTTACGTAGACCAGAATCCAATCCAAGATATACTCGTAGTTGGTCGGTGGAGGCCAAGGTTGCAAGCTGCTTAATGGCTGCTGCGAGCTGTTCAGAGGGACTCCAGTCGCACGAGGCCAAATTGTCATGGAACTGCCTAAGGAGAAGCCCCAGACTTTGCAGCTTAGAAGCAGGAACAGGATGGAGCAAGCTGTGCGACTTGAGCCGTTGCTGAGATTGCAGGATTTCAGCAAAGGCCAAAGGGGTTGCTTCAGAGCCTAGAGGGAAACAGCCTAGCTCCTTGAACTCGATGCCAGCCATGGAAATCGATAACGGGCTACCTTGCGATTTAACCTGGGCGACCCACTCTGGAGGCTCACGCAGAGAGCCAGTCGACTTGGCGCTGAGCTGTGACTGATATTCTGACGACGCAATTAGTGTCTTCAAGGTCGGGAAGAACGGAATCAGAGAAGTCCAGGATTCATTGTCGACAGGCTGGCGTTCAATTTGAAGATTAGTGCGCCAGCGATCATGGGCCTTCATAATCTCGGCGTCTTTCAGCCACCCAAAAGAAGAAAGAGGCTCCAGAATTTTGACATTGAGAGCGGCGTTCTCAAGGGCGGATGCGCGGCCAATCCATGGGATTGCGCTATAGAAATTGCACCACTGCATTGACCTCTGAATTACCGCGTTGGAGAGCGACGCGGTGTCGTCAATGGTCTCCCAAGCTATCACCAAAAAGTCACGCATACACGCCTCGGAGACGAATGCCTTGATCGTTGGATGCAATTTCTCGAGCTGGAAGTAATCCCGCTTCTGGCCGTCTGGGAGGATGCTCGCATTCTTGATGACAAGCCCCGAAATTGCAGTCGTCTGTAAGACATCCCGGTCTTGGAGGAACTTCGGTGGAGCTGTTTCGAGATAAACGGCCAAGCCAAGGTTGTTGATCGTTTCGCACAGTCTTGCAAGCACGGTTGACGTGAACTTGTCTTCCCAGTTAGCAAGCAGAACACCACTCAAGACCGATTCGCGAAAGCTCCCAGCCAAAACATTGCCAATCTTCTCGATTGCCGTCGAAGTAGTCTCTTGATTGAGGAGCACTGTGAGGTCAAGTCTACCAACAAACTGCTTGCCTTGCACTTGTGCAAGACCAGATACCACACCGGGCTTCAAGGGATCCACGATGATGAGATCCCAACGTTCCAGCAATTGACGGTGGGACTCAGTCAGAGGACTAGTGAAAGACCCCAGGTAGACGCCCACAGAGGATGGCTTTTTTTTGCTGTGATGCGCAGTGGTAAGACCAAGCTGTTGAGTCGCAAGCTTGTCCAGCTGTTGGACTATATGGGCCGGCACCACCTCCTTACGGGGTCGCGACTAGAAACAATATTAGACCGGAGCTTTTCTTATGTGATGTCAGCTTGCAGACGGACTATACCTTATACCATTTGGTGAATCTCTTGAAGCCGGAGTATGTGAGATAGAGACACCCACATACTACACTTGCCAGCAGGATGCCGATCAAGACCTATGACAGGTCAGTATGGGAAGCGCACAGTGTACAGGATTTACGTACAAACTGCCACCAGTGGCTTTTCATCCCAGCCCACCCGACGGGGGAGACGTCGAGAATTTCGGCCATCTCGATTAAAGATTAAGGCGTCCACAATAACGGCGCGAGAACGAGGGACATGTATGATGAATGGAGCAGAGCAGCGAGCGGATGCGATTATTATTAAGAATATAGGATCGTATATTCAGAGGAGGACAACGTCATGCCCTAAGTCATGGTTGTAGGTCTCTTTGTTTGTGGTGTGGGATGTACCCAGTCTTAACCAGGGAAGAAGAGAAGGAATAAGAGAACGGTAGCTTTGTAAATATAAACGAATGGCAAGAACTGATGGGTAGGAAACGAGCTCTGAAAGGGTCGAACGAACGGTGGCCAGAAAGGCTAAAAAAGCAAAATGCGAGGAGAAAATGCGAGCAGGAAAAAAAAAGTCAGGACGGTGGCAGCGCCAGGTATAGAGGCGGAAGAAGAGGCCTGAGAAGCGTGATCGAGCAGCCGACAGCCAGCCTCTCCTGTATGTCTGACTCGATGACTGAGCAGGAGGCAGGATGTTAGGTCAGCCGCTGCAGGATGTCAGTTCCAGATATTTTTATTCCATCCAAATTAGTCTGGTTAGAGGCTGCGGGCAGTATCTGATCGGGGGCCACCTAGTCTGATGCAATCACGACCGGTGGCGCCCAACGCAGCTTCGGCCTCAAGGATGACCAAAATAGCCAAGCGTGTCAAAGTCCTTTGGATTTAGTTTGGCGCTAATTCTTTTGGTCTGTTTGAGAGTGAAAAGCGGCAGCTCCATATTAAGTAAGTGATGAGATGGTGCTGGGGCGATTGCCATGCCACGCCATGGGGATGGCAATGGGGATCAACCCGGTAGCGTGGCACACCCATTCTCTCATCATTTGTGTAAAGCGGAACAAACCGAACGGAGGCGAGAGGCAAATGGAACGGTACCATTGATGACAGCGATTGATCCTTTTTCCTTTTTTTTCTTGTCTTTGAACAAAAGTGGGGATATGGAGTGGGTGTGGGCAGCACAAGCACACACAGAGAGAGAGAGAGAGAGAGGTCGTTGTTGATGCATGGCCATGGCGATTGTTGCACCACCTGGAGGGGGTCAGGACAGTGAGTGCGGTGGAGATTGTCGATTATGCGATTGGTCTTTGAAGAATTTTCAGTCTGCCTGCCTTTTTTTTTCCCTTGCGTTCGAAGTTAGTGGGTATTGCAGAGACAACCAGCCGGTTTGGTTTGTCTACTGAATGGTAGGTTGGAGGGGACAACAAGACTGGATGAACCAAAAATCAAAAATCAAACAGGCAAAGAGAAAAAAAAAAGATAATGTGGAGAAAATTGAGCCCGGGAGTTGATGCGGCTACTAAATTAAGCTTAGTGTTGTATCATTACCTCCAGTACGCAACAGCTTTGTATTAATCATTCAGTCGCTAATACGGTACTGTCATGGCAATCTTTTTTACAAAAACACATCTACCGTCACACAGTCTCGTAATACTAAGCGAAAGGTCTCGTATCCGCTGGTTCCTCTTCCCTTGATTGACTTTCCCCCTCTTCCTGTTTCTCTTCTTCCCGGTTAGTCGATCTCCTACTACTACGGAATATGTCCTTTATTATCTACCCCACACCATCAAACCAAATCTTCATGGTCTCAGTTCCTGATGGGCCCTCTTCTTAGCTTCCAGGCTCTGACTTGTTCTCTATTTTCGGGCGCTAGAATGGCATTGCAATGGCCACCTGATGCTAAAATGCTAAACTGATGCTAACTGTACTGATGCTTTAGCGCTCCTTAGTAGTAGTCTGTGAGCTGAACTGGGAAATCCATCTCCGTGCGCCGAGTCTCTTGTTCGACGGCCAGACTCCCTCGCCATGACTCTCACACCATGTGGGCTCGTCTCTCGTCTATTTTTTCCTCATCTCTGTTTGTCAGATGTTCTGAGAGTTGGATTATAGATGGAACTTGCTAGCGAATGGTTTTGGCAAGGAAGAGGGCCCCCCTCCCCCCCATTCCCCTCAATCCATCTCGGAAAAAGTCTCGGGGCAATTTCCACTACGCATGCCATGGCCAACTGGGTCACTCAGATACGATGAACACACTAGTCAAAAATCGACTCATCGCCTCCGGCTCCTCCATCCAGGGACCTGAATCTCTGAAAAAGCGGGGCTGCAAGTACCCAGCGGAGACCAAGTGCGCCATATCTGAGTGAATCGTGGAACCCTCGGCTTCGGACTTAACGGGTCTGGCCCTGAAAAACTGCGTGAAACGATAGGCTATCAAGCTTTTTTTACGAGCTCTGGGGAGCAGGCACCCCCCGGCAGTTAATATAAACACACAGGATGTGATTGTGCCCACAGAACACAAGCCGCTGATCTTTAGTCTACAGCTGACGATTTCGCCAGGGGTCCTGAAGCTCAGGTCCACCCAGTCACTCGCTATCATTCGCCTTCGTCGGGCTGACATTCCTTTTCGTCTTGCGCAGGATCGGTTGATCAGACTACATTGCAATCATGATTCCGTCCTGGCTGCTCAATGCGGGCTGTTTCTTCGGATTTATAACCTGCCATACGCCCCCAGGTGTTTGGCCTGATCAGGGTGCGACGGTCATTTCATCCACTGCAGCTCCTTTGACAACTTTAACCATTGGAGTTTCAGGAACAATTGTTCCTGGCACTACTTCAATTGTTCATTCGTTTACTACTACCGACTCTCTCGCTTTGTCTACTCCCACTGCTGCACCTACTACTTTACTCACTTCGTTCAGCTCTACTGCTACAATCGTTGCATCGCTTTCTTCTTCCTCTCTTTCCTCCTCTTCCTCCTCTTCTTCGTCTTCCTCTGTTGTGTCAGTCGAAGCGTCCACCACCATGTCTCTCAGCTCGAGCATTGTGGCTGCCCCGTCTGCCTCCGCCGCCGTCTCTGCTTCTGTCGCGGCGGTGAGTGCGGGGTCTGTTGCGGCCAACATCCTGGTTATTGCCCGAGACACTGCATCGGCCAATGTTGCGTCCTCTGGCCTTAACGCTTATGGCATTCCCTTCACCACTCTTGTCGTGCCGCAGGCTGGAGCTAGCCTGCCTGCGCTCAACACCACCACCGGAGGAAACTTCGGAGGTATTGTGGTTGCCAGCGAGGTCAGCTACGACTACGGCACCGCGGGCTTCCAGAGTGCGTTGACTACGGACCAGTGGAACCAACTGTATGCCTATCAGCTGGCCTATGGTGTGCGCATGGTACAGTACGACGTCTATCCGGGCCCCAACTATGGTGCAAGTGCCGTCGGAGGCGGATGCTGTGACACCGGTGTGGAACAATTGGTGTCATTCTCCGATATCAGCGACTTCCCCACCTCAGGCCTGAAGACGGGTGCTGGTGTCAGCACCAGTGGTCTCTGGCACTATCCGGCCACCATCAGCGACACCAACACCACCAAACAAATTGCCTCGTTTGCCTCCAACTCAGTCGTGTCCAGTGACACGACTGCTGCAGTGATCAACAACTTCTCTGGCCGGGAGCAAATGGCGTTCTTCATTTCCTTCGATACCACCTGGAGTGCTACCTCCAACTACTTGCAGCACGCTTGGATTGCCTGGATTACACGCGGTCTCTATGCTGGATACCGCCGTGTTAACCTGAACACTCAGATTGATGACATGTTCCTCGAGACGGACATCTACTATCCGAATGGCACGACCTTCCGTATCACCCCCGATGACCTGACGGGCATCACCAACTGGGTGCCCACGATCAATGCCAAGATGAACGCTGGAAGCAGCTACTACGTCGAGGTTGGTCACAACGGTAACGGCAACATCGAGGCCTCCGCCAACACCGGTGATGCCGGTTATGATGCCTGCAACGGCGGTGCTATTGAGTATGATTCTCCTCCCGACACTCCTTTGGAGTTCCAGAAGCCGCTTGGAACTGGTACCAACCTCTGGCCCTCTACCCCGACCGCGTACGACTGGACGACCACCTGTACCAAGCTCGATGCCCTTCTGAATTGGTGGACCACTTCATCCAACTTGAACAGCTGGGGTCACATCTCCCACACTTTCACCCACGAGGAGCAAAATAACTCGACCTACTCGGATGTGTTCAAGGAGATCTCCTTCAACCAGGCCTGGCTCAAGCAGGTCGGTATCGATGCCGCTGCGCACTTCACCTCCAACGGTATCATCCCCCCGGCCATTACTGGACTGCACAACGGCGATGCTCTTCAGGCCTGGTGGGATAACGGCATCACCAACTGTGTCGGTGACAACACGCGTCCCGTGCTCCTGAACGCGGACAATGCGATGTGGCCCTTGTTCACCACCGTTGCCGCCAACGGCTTCGCCGGCATGCAGGTCAACCCTCGCTGGGCCACCCGTATCTATTACAACTGCGACACTCCGGCTTGCACTGTGCAGGAGTGGATCGATACCTCTGCTGGTAGCGGCGACTTCAGTACTCTGCTGGCTACGGAGGAGGCTGACACCATGCGCCACCTGTTTGGTCTCTACCACGACCCTTACATGTTCCACCAGGCCAATCTCCGCAACGCAGACGTCGACCCCATCACCATCAACGGCGTGTCGGCGAAGTACTCCATTTTCCAGGCTTGGGTTGAGACCGTGGTGCAGGAATTCGTGCGCCTGGTTGACTGGCCTATCGTTACTCTGAAGCACCAGGACGTGAGTTAATCCCTTGGCCCAACTAACATCTCTTGAAATCGGTCACTAATCAAGCTATAGATGTCCGCTGGCTTCCTCGCTCGTTTCAACCGCGACAAGTGCGGTTACGCTCTCAGCTACGCCATCGCGAACAAGCAGATCACTGCGGTGACTGTCTCCGCCACCGGCAACACCTGCAGCGAGCCGGTCCCCGTCACCTTCCCTGTGGCGCCCACCAGCACCCAGGGATTCACCACCGAGCAGGTGGGCAGCGACCCCCTGACCGTGTGGGTGAAGCTGTCGGGCTCGCCGGTGACCTTCACTCTCTCCACTCCCATCGCGTTGTAAAAAGCGCGGGGGGAGACAACACACTCGCTTGATTGACGGGATTCTGATCCTCTGGACATAATCTGTAATGTTATAATGGCCACATCATGGATATACTAGTAGAATTACCTACGATACGATATTGAGTATCACTAGGATGAGATACGGTACGAATACAATCGCTAGTGTTTTTACGCAGCTGGAGTGGTACGGTAAAATGTTACTAGAGGCTGGACATATCCTGTACATACAGTACACACCATCACCACCACCGCGCACAGGACCAGCAAACACCGTCACATCCATCCTCCCAGAACAAAAACACAACCCATAAGTCAAACCCTCTTACGTCTCTATGACGATGAGTTTAGGTTAAGAACTTTTGCGATCATCCAAAACCTACCCAACGAGAACCCACCAACACAGAGACAGAGAGAGAGACAAAAACCAAATCGCGGAGGTCCAACCACACCGGGGGAGGCGTCCCCCAGAACCCTGCATGAGAAAAGCGGGAAGGGCATGAGCATGAGCATGCTGCCTTCAGGTAAGCCGCGGGCAACCACCACTCAAGCACAAAGGAGACAAAACTCTTTTTTTGCTTTGTACTGTACCTATCCAATTGCTCCACTGGCATCTCAAAGATACAACCTCCACAGTTCCACCAGTCCACGGGAGAAAAAGTATCATCCATACCAGATCATAAAGCACAACCCTTTCTTTCCTTGTCTTGCCCTGCCTGCCCCCACGCTCCCACGCTTCCATCTCCCCCAAAGTACGATCCTGTTTTTTTTTTTTTTTTCTTTCCCTGCTTTCTCGGGGGAGTCGGGGAAAAGATTTAGGGGTAACTAAAATTTCCTACCCCTCATCCAGGATCCAGGATCAGGGATCCATTTTTTTTTTCTTTTGCCCCTGTCAAATTGGAGCGATAGGACAGCGCATCATCTTTTCTCTTTGCTGCTGCATCCTGCCGGTCGATCTTGGCGTATGCACACTAGTACAATCCTTTTTTCGATTTTGGGGGGGGTTAGCCTGAATGGATCCTGTTTGTTGGGGGTGGTTTCAGCAGGTTTTTTTTTGTGGGATGATGTTTAGGATTTAGATTAGATTTGGATATACGAATGACGTGGAGGTTTGATTTGACCTACGGGGTGCGTGTTTCTGATAATCTATATGGGATGGCACTTTGTGGGGAATGGGAATGGGCGCGGGCGGAGAAAAGAAAGAGGGGCAAAAGGGACGGAAGGGATGAGTGGGGAAGGGAAGGGAAGAAAGAAGGGGAGAGAGACGGGAAGGAAGGTGACTTTGCCCGGAATGTGGACGGTGGTTGTGTCGGCTTCGCTGACCTATTTTTACCACCTAAGGTATGTATGTCTCGCTAAGGGCCTTATGATGGATGGGGCTGTTAGAGCTTGCAATTGATAATCCGTTGGTTTGGATGCTCAGTGTTCACACTTGTGGTGGTAGTCGTAGTCTAGTTGACAGCGAGGTCGGATCCGAAAGACAGACGAGACGAGGCTATACACACATAATCTCTTGGAAGGTTGGCTGGACCCTGTTAGAAGTGGTGTTATAGCGTCGTCAGAACCAGCTGGCTTAGTTAGTTAGCTAGTCGACTAGCTCTTAGTTGACTAGCTACTAAGGCCAGCTAAGTAAGCAGGGGCAAAATACTCAAGTACCTACAGTTAAGTGACTCGTACATTGGAATATGTAACTAACTTGCTACTATGTGCTGTATAATAAACTAAACTATTACTATAGATGTAAGACCTCACCTTTCCCCACACAAACTCTCGCTCCGTCACCCTGACTTGCAGGAACAGAGCGGGAGGCCAAAGCTACCTAGTACCTAGTTCCGAGTCAGTCAGCCGATGGTGGTGGAGGTTGAGTTTCGCTTCCCCCGCGTATGGTCCTGTCAAATTTTAATTTGTCTTTAGCTGCCGGTTAGACTAGCGTTTCTCGTATTTGGATGCATCATACATTCGCCCCGTTACACCTCATCTTGGTTTGTCTTGTATGGGATGATGCTGATGCTGCTGATGCTGATGCTGCTGCTGCTGATGATGATGCAAGTTAGATTAAAACTTACTAACTCTTTCACCTGCTTACCTCACGACTTTAGTTAGATACTCGCCGAAGAAGGCAAGGCAAGTCGAGTCCGGGATATGTACACGAGCCTAAGGCTTGGGTTGGTAAGTTCGATGGCCAGTTTTCTCATTGCCCCTACATTCGTAGACTTTCTTTATGCCCAGTCTTCAAGGCTGATCATCGGCGCCGAGGTCGGGGGAAGAGGAGGTTAACGGACATGCCGATGATTATGTTCGAATAGCGACGAACTTCTTGTTTAGGGAGGAGACTACATTTCCTACATTCGTATTCATTAAAGATTTGTGAGTTGGCATTGCAATCATCCCCGGTTCGAGAATAGCATGATGGCGAGATTCTCATATCATCCGGGATGATGATGAGAGAGAGAGAGAGAGAGAGGGCTATGAGGCTACAAGACTCGAATTGCGGAGATCGCCTCTTTGTCTCGGGCTGAGCTTTAGTTTAGAGGCTGTTGTTGTTGGGGGGGAAAGTCATGATGCCATTCAAGCTCGTAAATCACAAGCACAAACACAATGGACGCACTCCTTCTTCTCTCCTCAATGATCCTTCTGCCAGGCTAAAAAGATAATCACAACGTACATCTCCTGACTGCAGGACATCGCTGGACAGAAGATGTTCGCACTATCGCCTCTTCAATTTCTGAAGCGCCGGCCCCCTTCAGCTTTTGCTCAGCCCCATCCCCGTTTACTTTTTTATCTCTCTCTCCCTTGTGTTCTGTGCTACGCGCCTCGAAAACTCGACCTGACAACCGTCCTACCTCAAGCACCTTTTTTGCCTTTTGCCCCGTGAAATTTTAAACCCGACGCCTGCATGTCAAGCTTAGGTTGACACCTGCCAGGGGGAGGGGGGAAGGGGGGTCAATCAGGGACGGCCGCGGTGGCTGGCCTGGACGGTTCTCCTGCGTCTACCGTGCTAATCAGAGGCAGATTTCCGTTCGTCGCGAGGCAACAAACGGGCGGAAAGTAAACAGCCAAAGAAAAACTCTGCCAGGTCAGCAGATTTGCTGCAGCGGATATCCCTGTAGGATCAGACGGTCAGGCCAGTCGGGTGCAGTTTGAGGTCAAGAAAAAAAAGGGAGAAAGCAAAATGGCCATGGCCATGCCATGCCATGCCAGCCCAACAAGCCAGCCAAGGGCTAAGCCGGTTTACCGTGGGAAATGCAGGGACGGGGGTCGGAGGTCGGAGGAGATACAATCCCTGGTAGTATTTTGGCCTTAGTGTTTGTTGTTCGGAGTACATACGTGCGAGTGGTTGGAAAAGAACTAACACTGAAGGGATGTGTGTGTGTGTCCCACGTAACGGAGCTTGCGAGACTTCCCGTACATGAGCTAGTGGAGTCGAGAATGGCCAGTAGACCAGTCAGTAAAACCAGTAGAAGATCGGAATCTGGGTACGAAAAGTGTCCGATGATGATGGGAAGGGAAGATGATGATGATCAATCACAACATGCTAAATTCTCCGCCACCGAAACGTGGTAGACAGCGCAAAAGCCATGCGTGCCAAGACTCCCCCCCCCAGGTGGTCCACCGCGTTCCAAGCAGTCGAGCGACTCGAGTCAGGTCACTAGGCTAGTAGTCTGCTGCGCGCCAAGAGGAGGGGATACGAGATGAGTGAGCGCGTAAGCCTGACGGTTGCGAACTTGTGCACATTATTTGCACAAGTTGTTGCTCGGGTAGGGGCAATGAATAGAGAACTGTTCGGGAGTCTAAGTCCGAGAGCTATTTTAGGGCTGATGGGGGGCATGGGAGGGAAAAGAATGGTCAGGAGCAGATTTGTGGTGTTGTCTTGGTGGTCTTGGAAGGTCTTGGGTGTCTTGGGGTTCCAACGCAGATCTTGGCAGAACTGCGGGTGATTGCCAAGCCGGATGATTGTGGGATGTTTTGGTATGTAATGGTAATTACAACTGAGTTGCAAGTTACCATGAGGAAAGCACTGTCCAACAGTCGATACCGATTTCTGACCCAATGTAATTAACAATACTTGGTCTGACCGTACCTGATCTCGGAAGGAACGGTTAGTGTCCGTGGCTTGCTGGGACTATCCGATTGGCAGCGAGGGAAGATTGGCAAGGTTCCGGCCCGATGGAAGGACAAAAGGACAGAAAAAACAAAAAAAGAGAAAAGAGAAAAGAGTGCCAAGAAATTGAACAGGAAAACCGCCAGAGCATGGTGGCTTGAGTTTACCGCGGCCCCTCTCTGTCTAACTTTCTTCAGCGATCAGAAACCCAGCGAACTCTTTGCGAAACCTTAAAGCAACTCGGCTATAGCGTGCTTGACTCGAATTGTTGTCATCATCCGATCGTCTGTTTTTAGGGCATCTTGCGACCGGAAAATCGGCCCTCCATTTCCTGTCACCCAGTCGAGACGGTCTGGTCTGGGCCTACGCAGAGAGTTTTAAGATACTTACTCATCTACTCCGTATAAGTTAACTAGTTAAGTTATTTCAGTGACTCGATCCTCCTTGGTAGGTCGAGCCCCGTACGACCAAGGCTAAGTAACTTCAAGCGCTGATGGTTCTACCGCCCATTGCATCCTTCTGGTCTTTATTGAAACAGAAAAACAAACAAATCGAAAGAGGCAAACAACAACCAGCCTGGAGCCCAGCCATACCTAGTACTAAGTACTTTACTAGATTAGGGTAAATGGGTGGCTGTGGGGAGGTCACGGGGTGGCTTAACCCTTTCCAGCCGATTCCAGTGTGGCTTGCCTCAAACAAAGAACCATTCCATGGATGGTGACATGATGTTCTCTTATTATTCATCTTCAACCACTTTCATAAGATCTCGGTTTATTCACCGTGAGGTGGACACAAGATCTGGATAATATGGTGCAGTTTCGCATCGCGACTCCGTACCTTCTCCCTACCTATCTCTGGACCAAGGTCCAATTCTTAGTCAGAGGAGGAGCCTGCCCAGACTTCACAGGCGCCGACCCGATTATTTTCCAATCCCAGCGCTCAGCGCTGAATAGCCAGACACCGGTGGTGATAGTTGTGTTCTGGGCGTTTTAGGCTTCCGAATTCTGGTCTCATATTTGTGTAGTTTCAGTAGTTTTGTTCTTCAGTACTCCGTAGTGCACCGGACTATGGCGTGCACAGTGCCGACAGAGCCTGAGAGCAGACAGGATTGACAGGGTCCAGACAAAGTCAGCCCGGCCACAGCCGGCATGGCGCTTGCTTCCCCTCTCTCTTTCTTTCTCTTTTCTTTCCATTCAGGGTCCAGCGCAGCGCTCTTTCACCACTAGTAACTACCTAAGTAGTAGTACTTCCTCCTCTGATTCCATCTTATCTACCACTTGATCCCAGGCTCCCCTCCTAATTATATCTCCTTTACCCCCTGATCGACATCAGGCAGTTGGTTGTTTCTTTTGCCTCTTTTGCCTCAGCGCCACTGCTGAACAACATGAACCTGAGTCTTGTGTGACCAGACGAAGCTTTCCTAGACTTCATCCTTAGGCACCCCCGTTTCCCTTCTCATTCATTCGCTCATCGCTTGGATTCACCCGAGTTCGATTGCGACCGGGCTGAAAGACTAACTGGACACGAGGAATCTGCAATCTGCGATCAATCTTCTCTCCACCCTTTTAATTCCCCATCTCCCCATCTCCCCGGATTGCCCTCGTTGCTTGATCTGGCCTTAATTGATCTTTACTTCCTTGGGAACCACTTGGAACTATTTTCTTGATTTTATCCCTCTTATTGTCGATTTAGCCAATCCTCTCTCCCCCCCCCCCCCCCCAAATGGATTCTGCTGGGGAAACTGCCCTGAAGGGCTACCCCGCGCGAGGCTGGAAGGCTTGGTCGCTCAAGAAGAAACTCATCGTGGTCGGCTCTATCCTTGGTGCGATCGTGGTCATCGGAGTTGCCCTTGGCGTGGGCCTGGGAGTCGGGTTGAACAACGGCGGCGGTGGTGGCGGTGGTGAGGAAGAGCCCTCTCCTCCCACGAACACAACCGGCAACTACACGACCGCCAAATGGCAGCCTGCCGTGGGTACGACCTGGCAGATCGAGCTGCTGTACACGCTCAATGACACCTCGGTGGACGTAGATGTCTACGACATTGATCTCTTCAACAACAATCAATCCATCATCAACAGCTTGCACGACGCGGGTCGCAAGGTCATCTGCTATTTCTCGGCCGGCAGCTACGAGAACTGGCGCCCGGACAAGGATGACTTCAAGTCCGCCGATCTGGGCAAGAACCTCGACGGCTGGCCCGGGGAGAAGTGGATCAACATCAGCTCCCCGAATGTGCGCAAGATCATGCAGGCCCGGCTGGACATGGCGCAGAAGAAGAGCTGCGACGGCGTCGACCCGGACAATGTCGATGGCTATGACAACACGAATGGCCTGGGTTTGACCGAGGCCGATTCCATCGACTATGTCAACTGGATGGCGAACGAGGCGCATGCCCGCAACATGTCCATCGGCCTGAAGAACGCAGGAGCCATCATTCCCTCGGTCATCAAGAACATGCAGTGGAGCGTCAACGAGCAGTGCGCAGAGTATGACGAGTGTGACACCTACGCCGCCTTCACCAAAGCGGGCAAGCCGGTGTTCCACATTGAGTACCCCAAGGGGGACGATACCAACAACAACAACGAGGTCACGACCACCCAGAAGAACGACGCCTGCGACTTCACCGGGTCCGGCAACTTCTCAACTGTCATCAAGAACATGGATCTGGACAACTGGATTCAAACCTGCTGATCGGGGATCGTGATGACCGCGGAGACAGGCGACAAGCTGCTCGCTGCGGTTTGTCTCGGGGGGCTGACGAGTGCAAATTTTGATCTTGCAAATGAGCATGGGGCATTGGCGCTAGGGAGTTTTGTTAGGAAAATCTCGCGTTGTCGGCATAAACAAGGCCACACACACACACACACACACATTGTATTGTAGTTTTCCAATTGCCTGCGCTATAACTTAGCACACAGCTAGCCATTTCCATGTAAATCTGACATTTGGATAACAACGGTCATCTGCTCAGAGCAAACGAGAGAGTCGATCAGATCACGAGGCTGAGATTCGATTCCTGAATAGGTGCCCACGGTGGCAGCAGCGCAGCAGGCTAGGGAGGAAAACTTAGCGTGGTTCTTTCCTCTATATCATCCGGTCCTTATTCGAAGCCCAGTGCGCAGTGCGCCCATTGTGATCAAGACATCCTCCGACACGATGTCTCAGACCGATTCTACTGATTAGACACTTCCTCCCTCAGCTGATGCGAAAGGGCAGGCGGAAGATGCATATTGAGTCATAACTAAGCATTCTTATTAATAGCTCGAGACATTTGACAAGTCAATTTTTTTTCCCTAGAATCACACCACCACCACTACCTCTAGGGGTCCAACCATGCCAATGCCCCCGTCCAGACTACAGCAGCATGTACACACAGTACTGTAGCATGTAACTTTACATCCCGAACATACAGACATACTGACATACCTCCGAGTCCGATGGCGACGTGCACCGCATCATTGTCATCATCCCCGTCTGTTCCAAGTCTTAAGTTATCTTACCGAAGACAAAACAGAACACGACGTTTAAAATTTCCTTGGAAAGAAACCCTGTCTGGTTTAGGTAGGCATATACACCTTCCATAAGAGGTCAGCTTCTTTGTAACGGGGAAAGGAGAAAAGGCTCAGGACATAATCCTCGTCCGGAAAAGTATCCCCGTCGATAGAACCGACTCACTCCATACACACATCCACACATACACACATACACACACCATTGTTGCTGTTGTTGTCCATGTCTCAGGCCCAACCGTGGGCGCCACGACTTGGCATTGGCGTTTTCCTCTTACAGAATTCGCCTTCGGTATACCTAGAAGTAGTCTAGATAGAGAGAGGTGGGGGATTACCAGCTCATCATTGCAGGATGTCTCACCCGGAGGGGGGGGGAGGGGGGACAGGGCCCAGAATCACATAGGTACAGTACAATACATGAGTCGAATTCAAAGGATACAGTACAAACGATGATGTTGATGATGATGAGATGGTGGGCTCAAAGAAACATCGCCACCTTCCCCTTCACCACAAGTCTGAACATGTAGATTGCTCATTCCTGAATGGGGAATAACAAGCAACTCCTCCTCTCCTCGCACTCGAACCGAGGCAAGAAAAGAAAAGCTTCGAGAGTGCCCCAAACCATGGTTGAGGGACTCCTCTGGATGTTCTTTGTCACTTTTTCCAAAAATCTACGCGACCAAGATTTATTACTCCCCGTTACCATCTTATCTAAGCCATGCCGCTTGAACCGTGGAATTGGGAGGGGAGCGGCCGATTGTGACGTTATGATGACTTCCGGGATCATCACATCGGATTATTCGCCATTCTTAGAGATAACTTTATCGATCTCAGTTTTCTTTGTTCTTTCTCGTTTCGTTGCCGCTTCCCCCTCTCCCCTTCGTGTCTTCTCGCTAGTGTTTTCCAGATAGATTGAATAGTCCCAAGTTTCTGCTTCTTACTAGTTGAACTTAAGATCCTTAGGGTTATGGCCGGGAAGGTCCGACCGCGTGTTCTTTTGCTGGCAACAAGTTCCTTTCAATCAATTGCCCGCCGACTAAACATTAACGAGAAAATAAGATTATTAACTTCGAGATTGGAATTTCGAGATTGGCGCTAAACCGCTTATCGATCATTCGAGCTTCGCTAAACCTAGTAATCTCAGGTCGCCGCAACGGAGCGACTAGTAGACTTTAAGTTAAGCGCCCAAGTGGACAGCTTTTTCATCTGACTTGCGGGTACGAGGTGCTCACTGTTCCTTCAGAGTCTCTAACGCGATTTAGCTCCGTGAGTCGTGACTTTTAGTCGCAAAGGAAAAGATAGTGGACGAATCACCGGCGAGAGAGCTTAGACCCAGAACGGGCTCGCTCCGAATACGCCGGCGCTCTTTTTGTTTCGTCTCTCGCTCGCTCGGGTCAGGCCGCGGTTCGGTTGCGGTTAGCCTCGTGGAGAATTGGCTGGTCTGTTCCTACTTGTGTATTAGCCGGCTTCGCTAGGTGTATTCTTACCGCCCGTTCTTCCAGCGGGTAAATTTCATTCACGAGGTAATTTTTCCCTCTCCGGACCTGAGCCCCAGATCTTGGATTTGGGTCCTATACATAGTAGTGGAGGGAGAATTCTGATACAAACGATCAGAGTGTGAACCATGGTGCAAGACGCTCAGAATCTGACTCGATCGACAACGGCTTCCGTGAATCACCGAGATGTAAATCGACTAGTCGAGGCGTGCTAGCAAATGTTCAGATCGGTGGCGTGGCAATCCTGGGCAGTAGACACAGTGCATGAATATACTCATAGCTGGATGACCGCGCCCTGAAAAGGAGGTGATGGATCATTGATCTGACTCAAGATATGATAGAGTTTAGGATCCTGGCTCAATTGAGAAATTATCCGGCCCTTTGCTTGTTAGCGGCACTCATTATCATCATCATCCTTCTGTCTCTCTCTCTCTCTCTACCACCATTTCCTGGTTTGGAGGAACACTAAAATTCCACTCCCCTTCCTTAAAAACAAACAACGTGGGATTCCCACTCATCTGAATCGACGGCTGTTCCTGAATCCACGACGTAGTTACTCGATTAAGTTTGGTGTGCCTTGTTCCTGAACCAAAAGATCCAACTTCTGGGACTTTGTTCCACACCGAGATGAAGTGCCGAGGGAAAAACACCTCCTGGTTTGACCGATCGGGTAGATGATCGTCAGGCGTGCCTGAGCGGCCCCTTAGAGAAGAGTGGATCATGGCCAGACCCCTCAGGCACAGCTTCCTCCGTCCATGTTTTTTTGACGCCACTAAGTCTCGGTCTCCAGTCGCCCGTGCGGTAGTGGGTGGTTCGCATCGGAGATGATGCCCACTTGGTGCTTCGCGCGCCTGTTCGAACAGATGGGGGGGAGTTTTGGAATCGAAGAGGTCAAGAAGGAACAGCGGAAAAAGGAACTCCTAGCTCGAAGCGAGGGCCCGGTTTGGAATTTTCTCGGTGCGATTTGGAGTTTGTGTCTTGGCAGATCAATTCGAATCAGCGGTGTTGGACCGAGTGTTTGAAACCTTGAGCTTTCCTGTACGTACTGTAGTTGAATTAGTTACGGGCCTCACTGTGAAGGGAGAGCAAAAGACGGAAGGCTGCAGAACCGCTAGTCTGGTCTGGATTTTGTGTACGGAGTAGTAGTCTCTCTCACTCACCTAGCACTGACACTACTGACATTGCCACTGACACCAGCCTGTCTTTCCATTCTTTGATGAGACTGTCATTGTAGCAGATTGAGTATTCAGCTTCATTCTTTGTCGCGTGATTGGGAAAGATGGAACTTGAAGTCATCGAATTATGCTTAATTAACCGTACTATTGAAGGCAATTTAATCCGAGTTCCTTCCTTGATTTCTTGCGGGGTTGAATGCCTCAGGTACCGACCGTAGTCCGTCCGTCTCAAGTGTGACTTGCCCCATTAGGCAGGTACGCGGAACCTCAGCTCCATCCAGGCTAGGTACAGTACAAATTTGCTTGACCACTACACCAACCAACCAACTATATCACCTTTCTTCTTGCTTCAATGTGTAGTACCCTCTATTTGACACACTCCAGTCTCGGAGAAGAGCGTTCCGCTCACTAGTCCATCCAAAATAGACAGACTCTGGACTGTACCGGGTGGTCACACCGACAACGAAAGCTCAAGCTGTAAGCTGAGTCTGTATCCCTCTGTCTCGGTCACTCGGGCATTCCTCGCCAGATTCTCGCTAACACGCTAATACCACATCTCAGGATCCCACCATCGATCGGCCCTCCTCAACGGAATCACTTCCTCTCAGCTCCGCTGGGGCTGTTCCGATTCAGATCTAAGTCTCATTTCTCCGAAATTCCGCGCGATCGGCGGGGAACTAGCCTAGCTTTACAGTCATCGGCAAGCTGACAGCCGGAGCGAGTTCCAACCTTTCTCGACCCATTTGCGTGCAGCCCTCTTGGAATGAGGAAAAATATTATCGGGGAACAATCGTTCCAGGAGTACCTGCAAAGGTCAGCGTCAATCTCTCTTGTCACGGAATAAGATCGCTCGCGTCGAGACAAGGCGAGCCGGTGTAACGTACCCCCCAGGCACCCGGTTCTTAAGGAGAGACGAGGAGAGACAAAGATAATCAGAAAATTACTCCGAGGGTGACATGACTGAGAATCACGAGACTCGCTCGTGTTCGACTTGTTGGCGCGGACTTCCTTGGGTTCACGGAACAAGGCGGTCGTTACAGTATTGTTGCTTGCATATCCTCCTCAGCTAAGCTCAAACGCTGTTTATCCCCGACATATGATGATCAGTGATCGTCGGGTTCGGGATGTGAGGAAGACGCGGAGAATATGTTCGATGACACCCGACCTCAGCAACCACGGCTCTATAAATAAAATTGCGCCTTCATCCCTACAACACAGCGTCATATTGGCCTGTACCTCATACCCAGTAGATAGACGTCGATGGTACATGCTCTACATGTATGTCTGACTAGGAACCCCGTCCAGGCTGCCGACCGGACATTTTTGCGCTTGTATCCTCCAACCGGCTCGGAAGCCTACGGCGTACATCCAGCCACCCTGCAGGGTACATCCTGCACATTCCCCATGGATGGAGACGAGTTCAACGCACCTGTGTCACTTCTTTCCTCCGCAATTTGACTGACCCTCTCCCCTCCGTCCTGCGCGAATCCACCAGCTTGTCCTCACCAATTCATCACCTCAGCAGGAGTCTGTGGAACAAATCAACCCATCCGCTGGCAGGATGGTGAGTCTCCCAATGCGGGATACTGCATTGAGCTCTCCGACTGGCTTGGCAATCCTTTCATTGCGATAGACGCCAGTAGGATTCTATCATCCAGCAGTTTCCGCTCTGCATGAATTTTCCTAAGATGGCAGCTGTCGGAAAAACCCAACCAACCAGCCCTACTAACATGTTCGCGAACACCTAGCATGCCCCCACTTTTGCTACATGTTCGATCTTGGTACAATTTAGCTGGCCCCATACTGGGAACCACGATTGCAGGGTCACTAACTTAGTCCCTGCTGTAGTCTTTATTGACTTCAGCGCCTGGCTCCTCCGCCGGATTGGATTGGTCCAGTTTGCCACTTCACTGTTCTCACCAGTTATTCTTTGATCATGCAACGATGTCAGGCAAGTGTTTATTCCCCCTGACCACAGGTTGGTGTAGAATCAGCTGAATTGCTTCGCAGGTAACACAAACCATTCTACTTCATGCTATGGTCTCAGGATCATTATGCTTGAGAATGCCTGAGTGCACTTCTAGCATGGTTCATATGCAAGGTACTATGTATAGAAGTGAGTTTCTCTAATAGAAAATTGCAGGTAAGTCACCTCCAACTGGCCCATGCAATAGACCGATTCCCAGCCCTGAGGGTCTATTCTCATGTTTGTTGTCTGCCAACCACACACATAAGGCACCATTGCCAAGCACATCTCATCCTTTGGCTAGCACGTAATTCCAATCCTCAGGAAGCAAAGAGGAGCGCGCGGAGCAAGCGACTCCCACACATTTCAGCTACTGCACATTTATTCTGCTCCGGCCAACCTTTTGGGCAGTCTAGACTGACTGAGCCCTTCAACAAGGGACTACAGTATGATCTAAATCATGGTCTAAGACACTTATAGCGCAGCCTTCGACATCCGCCTTCTTCTGGCCTCAATAGGTCACCAGCGAGTAGTAGCACCTTGGCATGAATGCCATGCATTGAGCCCTTCTCGACTCGGTTTTTTCCGTCATCTTTGCCTCTTGGTCTTGACTCTAGCGTGGGGCCAAGACCCCGGCCTGCCGGTGAGGTTCCCAATGCGTCCTAACTACTTGGACTTGTTGTCGCTGCCTTACCCTCTGGAATAGGGATGCACAGCACCACTACTTCCTAGGTACTGTACCTACCAGGTCGATGCAGTTATCGGTTCGCGCTAGAGCCGTAAAAGGCTAGATGAAGTGGATAACACGCTAGAACTAGCTAAGTGCCCGAGCTCTTTCTTTTTTATCAGTATTTTCTGTTTTTCTTTTTCTTTTTTTTCCCTCTTGAATATCTGTCGCCTTTGAAAATTACCCCACTTGTCAACCTCAACTCACTTCTATCCACCTCCGCGGTAATAACGCGGATGTCACGTAATCACGTAAAATACTTTCGACGAAATTCAGAATCCGAAAAATAAGGGACAATAAAACCGGCAGCCCGTACCTGCCGTTGCCCTAACTTCTTACATTGGAAGGAAGGTAGGGGGCGGGGAAGGGATGATGGTTGCAGGGTTATGTTTAGAATTCAACGAAGCAACTCCCAAGAACTTCTTCCCTTCAAGGGGGCCGGAAAGGTCCAATGGGAGATTTACCAATGGGAGGGGAAACAATCACTTGTCCTGTTCTGTCTGGTCTTTGCTTTTTTTTTTGTTGGTGGTCATGTCCAAGTGGGTGATGGTCGTCGTTTCTCCAAGTTTGTTTTTTCTGCCTGAATGCCCTGGATAAAGGAACAGGAACATGAACATGGGGTCCGGTCTAATGCAGGGTACGTAGTCGTAAGTCTCTTTTCTGGTTGGTTTCGAGAGAAAAAAAAGTTCAGATGTTGCTACAGCCGTCTGCGCTGTATATACTGTACTGCGCTAGAACTAGATAGGCTAGGTGGTATTGCAGCACCGTACGCCCGGCTGCTGACATTTTGTATCGAAAATCAACAATTGACTTTCGGTTCTCTCATTGAGCTCGTAAATACGTCATTCACATTCATCATGATCTGGGAAACCCCCAGTTGCTATACTATACTGTCGTATACCAGACCATGATTTCATTCCATTCATCCGAGAAGCGACACAGCCGATATGTTAATGATTTGATGAGAAGAGCAGCCGCCAAAACACGAAAAAGCAGAATATATACCACCACCCCATTGGCCGCCAAATATATGATAGAAGGAACTGTAGAACTACAGCAGAGACTAGACCAGCCCTTTTTTTTTTCAGACGCGCCACATCATAGATGCCTGTCAAAGGCAGCTCTCACGATTTCGCCATCAGATCGACGAACTGCTCCCATTGGCTCCCGAAGCTGGCATAGTAATTCGTATCGAGATGGGTGATGAACACCTCATCCGCGACCTTGCGCACCTGCTTTACTAGGTTCCGGAAATGCGAGCCCTCCACGCTGGCGGGCACCGAATGCACGACGGCCGTGAGCTGCTGGCGCGTGCTGTTGGGGATCTCCTGGAAGAGCTTAGCCCCCTGACGGTCCAGGAAGGTCTGGTAAGTCGCCTCGAAGACGACGGTCGAATCAGCGGTGCTCAGGTACCGGGAGTCAGGGATCACGCCGGGGTTGTGGACGACCTGGACAACAAGCGGCGAAAAACGAGTGATGTCAGCCACGAAACGAACGGCGAAATGTCAATGGCTAGCGATTGAAAGAAACAACAAAGGTGGCTAGGCTGGTTGGGCTAGACTAGGCTCGAGCCGAGCTAGAAACTAGCCGAGTTTCTCTCTTTCCCGTTCATCTTCCTCGATGAGGAAACAACAGTGAACAACCCAAACGACGATCCGATCCGGACCGGATGGAAATTCGGGTCATAGAGAAGAAACAAAGGGGGCAGGATTCAACAATGAGCTCTGCGTTGTCGATAATATTTTTCTCCATGGGAGGAGAAAAAAAAATAATCACCCGGCAAACAGCAAAATCGACAGTGGAGCAAGGAAAATCATAAAGGGGTGGAGCCGTCTCCCAGATACCGGGAACCGGAATTTTGGTAAGGAAAGTTATGTAAGTAACCATGTATGGGGAGGAACAATGACCCCCGGGCCGGCATGGTAATGAAAATACAGGGAAAACGGAAAGAAACGTCTCACGTACATAATTATCCGGCCCAAGGCCAGGATGGCTCTTAACCACCGCCGTCAGCTCTTGAAGATATGCCAAGGTATTCACATCGTATTGCTGAGGCGTTTCATCAAAGAATATGCCCCGAACCGCAAGCTTGGAGTTGGAACTGTTGGTCGGCCACGCCGCATAGGTCTCAATGTCGCGGCGCACCAACGAGATGTTGCGATTGGCGTACGTGGTAGCGACATAACCTAGTAGACGAACATTGTCATAGGAAGCGAGCTTAGGAACCTCTCGGGTATAGTTGGCGTCAGGCAAAGCATCGGGCCCAGGGCCGCTACCGGGGTTGACCACCACCGTGAAGTTGACGTCGGGATGTGTAGAGACCCTGTGGCGCTTAGCTGAGTCCGCCATGCATTGAAGTTACCCGTATCATGCCACGGGGCGAACGAGCATAGACCAGGGAAGACGTATGTATGGTTGGCCGGGGGGGAGGGGAAGGGGAGACGGTCGATTTGGGATGGCGCTCAAAGAAGCATGAAGACCGGACAAAAACGTACACTTTTTCTAGCGGATCCCAAGCTCCGGGAGCAGGATACACATAGAGCGGAACAAAAACTGAAGCTTTAGGACCCATGCTGTTCTTCTTGTCTAGAGTGACCACAACTGCTGGTGGAATGACGACGGCGAGGATGGCAATGATAACAAAGACGGCGAGGATAACTCGCGAGCGTGTACTGGAGAGACAGCGGCGGTCTCTCACGTGTTTTTCTTGCCCCATCATGATGAACAACGATAATGGGTGATTATGACGGAGCCAGGAGCAGGATAGCTGAAACCGTGCGCACCAACACTTGCGGGCGAGTCAAATTAGTACTGCACTTGAAAGTGGGTTCTGGCTAGTAGTAGTGGTAGTAGTGGTGGTGGTAATGGGTGGTGGTAGTAAAAGTGGGCAAGTGGGCTGGTGGGCTGCTCCATAATAGCGGAGTTGCGCCAGAATCGGGCCTTGAAGGACTAGAATTAAGTAGTGGTCTAGTCAGCCTTCCAAACGTAACTGAATAATCTGATGCTGAGTGAGAAAAAAGAGTAAAATGATTGAATGGGTGAGTGAGTGAGTGGGTGAGTAAGAGACTTGGGACGGGAGAGGGGAGGGAGAGGAAAAAAACACAGCAGGTAAAGCGCAAAAAGAGATGAATGGCGCGCGCGAGCCCAAAATAGAGCGGGGCAGGGTTTCGCCCATGCAGCAAAGCAGCAGCAAAAGCAGCAGCAATAGAAACTGCTACTGCTACTGCGACTGCTAAGTTACTGCTGTTTCTGCTGCTGTTTCTGCTTTGCTGCTGGAACAATTTCTTTTTCTGGTTTCGCCCCTACTTGTCCCAATTCTCCATCCAATTTACTTACCTACTTACTGTATTTTCCTTTTCCTCTGGTACTCTCTTGTTTCGTATCGGCGGATATCCGATGATGTATGATGTACTCGAGATTGCTGATGCTCTTTTGCTCTTGCTCTGATTGTAGTTGTTGCTGCTGCAAGTCTCTGTGGAGGCGTCTAGAGTTCGATCGAAGAGTCCAGTCCCAAGTCATCAACCATTATAATAAAAAAATTATAATTAAAAATAACCCAAAAAATAAATCACCAAAGAGGCGAGATTCCAACAAACCCGAAGGCTAAGTCAAATCGAATCACTCACTCACTCACTCACTCACGTACTCTGTCAGTCAGTCAGTCAGTCAATCAGTCTTCTAGGCCCGATTGTTCCATCCCAATAAGATCTCTCGCTGACATCGTCGACTCTTTATATTTGCTTTTTTTTCTCTTCCACTCTTTCTTTTTTGTCTTCTGCTTCTTCCAGATCCTCTGGTACCATCGTTCGCTCCCACCGATTTCTATCCATATTTTATTTTATTCCCTTTTTCTTCTCTCGTCCTTCCTCTTTTCTTTTTAATAATTATTATTTCCCTTTCGCCATCCTCCTCTTACACCTCGTCTTTCGCTTCCTTTCTCTGATATCCATTCGCTTCGTATGGCCATGTTCCCTGGTTGTAAATAAGCAAGTCACCGATCACGATATCATCGCCCAACCTAGCTGGCCAGATTCAGCAGCGGTTACATCGGAGAACCATAGCATAGGGCCGCCGCTCGTTCTTCCAAAGGAGTATAAGATTTGGGAACTCCTGTCTTTGATCTCATCCGATCCTGTTCGGAGTCACCCGCCGTCATCGAACGAACCCTCGCTCGAATAAAAGTCTTTCGTTTCCTTGTCATTGTCTGACCAAAGTTTCCTGATCTGCTTCACCTTTGAAGTTGTACTTCCCATCTTCCCAAACCCCCGCCCTCCTTCATTGCCGATAATGGAGAGCCCTCGACAGTCCGATGCAAGCACTCCGGTGGAGCCTAACTCCCCGGGCTTCGTCGATACGCCAGCGACGCAGTCATCCGTCTTGTTTGATGGCAATCTCGAGGAGTTGCTGCGCAACTTCCCCCTCGATCAGTACATCCTCGTTACAGGGGGTCTCGGGTTCATCGGAAGTCACACAACATTGGAGCTACTCAAAGCCAATTATAATGTAATCGTGATCGACAATCTCAGCAACTCCTTCCAGAGCGTCTTCGACCGCATCAAGCTGCTGGCGTCCAAGCATCATGAGCAACAAGGAACATGCATGCCTTCCTTGCAGCTGCACGCTCATGATTTCCGGGATACTGTTGCTCTCCGGGAGCTTCTCGATCAGTACCAAACCCAATCCAGATGGGGTTCCCCCAAGTCCAAAATCGCTGGTGTCATCCATTTCGCTGCTTACAAAGCAGTTGAAGAGAGCATCAGAAACCCTCTGAAATACTATGCCAACAATGTCAGTGGTCTGATCGACTTTGCTACCACCTTGGGTGACTATGGCATCAAGACCTTTATCTTCTCATCCTCTGCCACCGTGTATGGCACCTTGGCCACCTCCGGCCTGCCGCTGAAAGAGGAACTCTGCGTTCACAAGGATGAGACTTTCACGGACCACAACGGTTCCGAGCAACAGGTCAAGGCTGGCTGCACAGGCATCACCAACCCTTACGGCCGCACTAAATGGATCTGCGAGGCCATCTTAGCAGACCTCGCGGCCTCTGATCCAGAATGGACCATTGTCGCTCTCCGGTATTTCAACCCGATTGGATGCGATGAGTCCGGTCTCCTTGGCGAAGATCCCCGCCAAATACCCACAAATCTCCTGCCTGTGGTTGTCAAAGTCATGACCGGGCAATATGCGGAGCTGCAAATGTTCGGCACGGACTGGGACACTGAGGACGGCACTGCCGTCCGCGACTTCATCCACGTTACCGATCTCGCCCGAGGGCACATCGCTGCCCTCAGTGCCGCCAATGGAGGCAAATTGGCTGAGAACTTCCGCACCTTCAACCTCGGCACAGGACGCGGCCATTCTGTGATGGAGGTTGTGAACACCATGGAAAGCGTTTCTTCCAAACCCATTCCCCGCAAAGCGGCTGGACGTCGTGCTGGTGATGTTGGCTCGTGTGTTGCAGTGGCAACTAGATCACAGAACGAGCTCGAGTGGAAAACTGAGAAAACGCTGAAAGATGCGTGTGTGAGCTTGTGCAATTTCCTTGATGTCAGTGGCCTCTCTGCATAGGCCTGGATATTGTTTTAATCACCCTGTTTCATCTATGTGGCGCTTGGTTTGGGTTTTACCTTTCATGATTCTTTCGTTTATCGTCCTGTGACCGTCATAATTTTCCTTCGGTTACCGATTTTTCGTATATCCCCATGATTCCTGTTCGTGTGTTGGGACATAATTTCGACAGCCTCAAGCAACTCGTGATATTTTGCATGATAGAGACGAACGCATTCGCTATATTCATCCCATCACATAGTAGGCACTTGAAACCACTATACTTTACATCTGGCTTTGTTCCGAGACGTCGAAGGGGTTCGCTAAGTGCGAGGCCTTCCACATTCCTTATCTGGATAGTGTTAGTAGATTGGCCAATGCCACACTTTTGCCGTGCAGCCAGCCTCATGTGCGCTCGAGAACGTTGTAATCTGTTATCATGCTCCAGGTGCATGAAAAGATTCCGAAATAGTCGACGAGACCAATGCCGTCGCGAAATGCGTATGCTTAATGCATATCATTGAACAGAGCAGGAGATCTTGGGCAATGATAGAGAGGGGGAATGAGGGGCAGGGAGAAAGCATGGACGATTCAAAGAGCGGAAGGAATGAACGTTCGGGTGAATGATTAGTCAGACTGCCTGCCAACACTTCATCTTTCGACGTAGATGCAGTCTCTGCAGGTCTTCTCTGCTCTTTAAATGTTTAGGTTCGGCGCAGTCAAGCAAGGAAGGCATTCCGGGGAGGGTTATCATGTTCTTATCAGACGTTCGAAGCCAGATAGCACTGCTCACACGACCATCCTGGAGATGAACATCGGAGACTAGCGCTGACGGCGAGAATGGCTAGAACCAATGGATGGCTTCGCTGTCAGACAAGCAATATGAGAACTCCGGAGAGATTGCGCAGCCTGCCTTAGCTTTGCCCTGTTCTCTCCAGTAATGTGCTTCCTGCGGGACGCAGTTGCAGGCATTGACAAGGCGGCAAAGGTATAACGGCAGTCGACATGCATGGGATGTGAGTGATAATGCACGAGGCAACCAGGGACGGGATGGCATGATGCTCGGTTCCTGCAATGTTCGTTGACACTTCCTGTTAGTCGATATCGGCAGGGAAGTCGAGGATCCATCTGCGGACGGAAATTGTCCGCACGGGAGCAGCGGTGACCGGGACAGTGGGATTGCTAGACGGTTAAGGCATGTCCCAGCTCTGCTTTTAGAACGCAGTAATGTATCGACAGGCGCCCAAGAACCGTTGCCATGCCCATCACTTCTAGATGCCGCGGGTTACCTGGAAATCATTCGGTACATGCGCGGGTACCTTATCTGTCGAAACGTCACTTCGGGTTCCATGATAGCTCGAAGAAGCCGCATTCGTCGCACTTGGAATAGTCTAGTGAGAATAGTACAAAGCTTGGACATTGGAAGCGTTCAGAAAGCATGGTGGTTCCAAATAAGAGTAGAGGGATCAGAAACTTGTGTTGATGCCGAGCAAACATATATAAGAAGAGCCGGGACGAGCTCAAAACAACGGGTATCTGCATTTAGTAGAATCATGATACTCGACATGCGCGGAAAATTGGGTAGGATTGACCAGATCCAAGGTCACTAAGCAGACCTAACATCATGAGCGATGTCAGGGACATGATAATGTTTTTGGCAGGACGGTCACAGATGTATCTGAACAAGGTTGAGGTTGAAGTATATTCGTCGGGCTGCCCGTATCGGTTTATCGCGAAAGTAACTTAGGACTTCTGGCTTAGTCACGGATCACATGATCCATCACTACCGATGTGATATGGTGATTGAGCCATCGGTAGATGGGCAGGACGCAGCTCAGAATCTCTGGCAATGATGGAAGCTAGACACAAATCGTCTCTTGAGCTCGATCTCATTGGAAATCTACCTTTCCAACAGATAGACTGTTCAAATCAAGGGCTTGTTGGCAAGTCATCGAATACTGCGTGATACGGTCACGTGTCGGCTCACCTCCGGCTTGGCATCCAAATTCATGCCGCAGTTTTCTCGATCAGTGCACACTCACTGCGTGCCGGTCGGTAGGATTCCATTACACAGCATTCGATTCAGCGTGCACGGCTTGTCTTGGGGCTGAGGACGGCATACCACGACTCCGGTGACCGAGTTACTATCATTCGTTCTTTCTGGTCTTTGGTATAGCCGAAACCTGCCAGACTTCACACCCTCAAAATGATCTGCCAACGATGCCGGACCGGCATCCTGTCTCGATTCCAGCAGCACACGGTTACGTCGCCTGCCCTGTCTGGCGCGCGCCAGCTCTCTCTTCCCATCCAGCGGGCTCAATTCCGCAACTACAGTGACAGCAAGCCCACCGTGTCCGCCGCACCGCCGCCGCCCAAGCCCCGACAGCCCGGCGTGAGCGACGTGACCGTCGCGTCCGCCGTCTCCTCCGCCACCCCTGGAGTGTCGCAACCATTGAGCACCCCCACGGACGGCGTCCACAGTGATATTCACCCCGGCAAGGCCCGCAAGGTCGTCGAGCGCCCCCCGAGTAGCTGCCTTGCTGGCACGAAACTGAATGGGCTCAACTACTTCAAGAACAAGCCTGATCTGCTCGCTCTGGAGGATTCGGAGTACCCCGATTGGCTGTGGGGCTTGTTGGATGAGAACAAGAAGGGGAAGACTGAGCAGGGTGGCGTTGATCCAAGCAGTAAGGGACCCTCTCATCAATCAATGCCACGAAATTCGTCCCCAGCTTGGTTCTCTTTGACTAACACCGTGCTTCTTTCTCCTCAATCACAGCCCTGAACAAGAAGCAGCGCAAGCGCTACGAGAAGAAGATGGCTGCCCGCGCCGCGAACCTCCCTCCCGTGATCCCCATCCACGAACAGGCCAACGATATCACACCCGCGGCCTACAACCGCGATCAGGCAGAGGCCCAGGATACCCTGGTTATCGCCGCCGAGAGTCTCGAGAAGCGGACCGAAATCACCAGAAGCGCGAGAGATGCCCGGAGAAAGGGCATCAGAGAGGCCAACTTCCTTCGCGGACTGTAAAACCATATATTGTGTGTATCTTTGGCGAATCTGCGATTTTCTCGGTGGGAGGCTTCTTCACATTGGTCGATACTGTCCAGATTTACAACCCACAGTGTACAATGGTATTGGCAACCCGGGGAAGGGCTGGGCAGTTGGGGGCAGGGGGCAGGGGGCAGGGGGGGGGACTGTGTCCGGAAGAGAGATATTTCTCCTTGTAACTCATATTCTCATTTCTTTATCATGTACTATTTCCCAGAACTCAGGCGCGCGAAATGGAATGCTTTCAACACTTTCACTTATTGCAGCCCCAGGCTCACTTGGAGCGACTTCAAACCCACCACTGCACCCCCGTGACTTCCCGAAAGCGAAGAGCGAAAAACACACTTTCAACGAGGAATCTCCCAATCCGACTCATCCTTCTCCTCGCCCTGGCCCTCCACCCACGGCAAACAAGCCTCCCACAGCGCCTTGACCTCCCCATCCCCCACCGCAAGCATCTCCGCCCAAACCGTGCTATCCCCGCGCTGGAACCACGCCAAAACAGCCACGACCAGAAAGTCCGCATACCCGGGGGTCTTCCCTTCAAAGAACGGGCCACCACCGTCGTTGTTGTCGTCGTTCTCCTTGTTCCCACGCCGGCCCCGCAGCATCATCACAATCACGGCCATATCTCGCTTCATCGCGTCGATCAGCCGCTCCACCTCGCGGGCATCCCGGGGCCGGACCTCGGAGAGGGGCTTCCCGAACTGCGCCGAGCGCGTCTTGATGAAGTACTCGCGGCCCCGCGCATCCAGGAAGTCCGCGACGCGGGGAACGACCAGGGGGACGGCGTTGATCCAGACGGCGCCCATGAGCTTGCTGACGGCCAGCGCGAGCGCGTAGCTGGCGTCACCGGAGGGGAACAGGGATGGAGTGTTGGGAAAGGCTTCTTCAAGGTGCGTGGCGATGGCGAGCGAGTCCATCAGCATGCCGGAGGGGCTGGCGGGGAGGGAGGCCGGGTGGCAGATGGCGGGCAGCGTGTAGGGTCGGCCTTCGGCTTGAGGGCGGACTCCCCTGTGTGAGAGGAAGGGGGCGATGTCTGGGTAGGAGAGGAAGGTCTGCGTGTAGGGGAGCTGCTTGTAGTTGAGGACCATTCGGGTCTTGATGGTGTTGGGGGACCACGCCCTCTCTGACCCTGGTGGGGCGTTAGTCGTGATGCTAGTTTTGTTTTGTGGTTTGTGATGTGGATGAAATGAAGATTGGTTTCTTAGATTACGGTACTCACCAGAGAGGGTCGACTTGATGTCGAAGAAGTGGATTGGGCTGGAAGTCGACATTATTTTATCTTCATTATACAGTACGCGTCCTATTTTGGCATCAGTTGAAGTTCGTTTGAGTATGCTATGACGCGGGGGAGGCTTATGGTGGGGAAGTCATCTTTGATTTATCAGCTCCGCCGCCCCAAAGGTAACTATTGATTAGGCACCCTGCTTGCTTATCTGCTCTTCAACCCCGGTCATCTGCCTTGGTTCGCGCTTTGATCCAGTGAAGCACAGTCCAAACTTCTACGTTTGCTCAGTATGCTTAGACTGTTGCTTGATTGGTTTCAGACATGAGCCATTGAGGTTTAGTCTCTATGAGATGCTATCTATCATTCATCTATTTTTAAAAGTCATTAAGTCCAATGAGACTCTATAGAGTCTCCCCGAGAAACGCCATGTGTGGAGGCTTCGTAAGGTATATGAAAGACGGCTCAATGAGTGAACCGGAAGTCGAGGCTGCGGGGTTATTAGAGAAATATTCGTAATCGATGAGAAAAGCTCAGGGGTCTGACCGTTTGTTACCAAGATCCTTGTCAGCGACATCGGCCAGGTATGCCTCTCTCTCGGCACTGGACATAGCGTCCCATATAGCGGCTCTCTGTCTGAATTAGTGTTAGCATGATAATCAGACAGTGGGATTGGGTGAACTTACTTGTTACGCCAAATGTAGTAGAGCTTGGCCCCAATGAAAACTAGTATACTCCATACGGCCATGGCAATCAGTACTTTGTTGCCAGTATGATAGTATGGCTTGTCCTTCGCTTGATAGATCTGGGAAATGTCAGCTGACTTCCAGCACAGACTAAGTGTTAAAGGGTTAACTCACTTGACTGGCAATAATATTGGACGCTTGCACCATCATGTTGTACACAGCGCTAGCGACTGTTCGCGTCCGAACTGAGCCTGCATTTCTGGATGTCATGGCCACGACGATAGCATGAATATAAGGTGCGCCAATCAATAGAATGAGAATGGCCCATCGTCCCCATGCGCTGGCCCCGTCCGGAAGAGCAACTAGTGCAATGAGTAAAATCAAGCACCAGAATTCCATGACGAGGCCAAGCAACAAACGCTGATTGAAGCGCTCGGAGACCCAAGTCCAGAACAGAAGGTTGATAATGAAGATAACATAGGCAGGAATGGTGAGAAGATTCGTCTGGAAGGTACCGAAGCCCAGGGATTTGAGCTCGAGAGTGATGTAGTTTGTTGCAGGTGTGTTGGGAATCATCCATGTCAGACCGAGCAAATAAATCGGCCACATATCATAGTCACATAGAGCAGTCCATAGCATCTTGAGCGATACAGCCTGCCGATTGTGCATACTTCCCTTACTAGGGTCGTCACGCAGCACGCGGTTGACAAGAATCTTCTCTTCGCGTTCGTTGAACCAGCCGTCTTTACCCCGGAGGCCACCCTTTGTTTGTGTCGGTGATGCAGGCATCCAGAAGATAGCGATGATTCCGATGATCCCAGTGATTAGACCTTCGAATGCGAAGAGGTACCGCCAGCCACCCTTACCATCAGCATCGTGGATATGGAGGAAGCCAACCGCCAGGAAAGCGCTAACAATCGCAGTAGCTTCATAAGAAACCCAGAAATAACTGAGTCTGACCGGTAGCTCTTTAGATTTGTAGAAAAAGGAAAGGAAGAGGATGGTGTCGGCAATACTGGTAACTGTCAGCTAGAAAAATCGACTTTAGCATTCGACTTTTGACTTACAATCCACCTTCTAGAAGTCCCAGAAGCGCCCGACAGATGAAATAGCCGGTCTTATTCTTCAAGAAGGCTTGGCATGCAGCAACCAAGCTCCATGAAACCATCTGGAAAGGAATCCAGCGATCTGGTCCGACCTTCTTGGATAATAACTGCGAAGGCAGCTCGGCGAATAAGAATGTGAGAAGGAAGATTGTCTGCCCGTTGTTGTAGTCATTGGTATTCATCCCCAGATCCGCAAGCATGGTGTCGGAATTAGCCTGGACAACATTGCCTCTGTCGAGTTGGAGTGCAAAGAATGTCACGCATGCAAATGTGCAGATTCGCCAATCAATCTGCTTTTCATTAGCTCTATACGCTTATTGAGAAGCGCTTGCTGGAAATACCTTTTTGATCAAGGCCTTCTCTTCCTCTTCCGTCCACTCAAAGTAGGGATCCCAACGGTGTATGCCTTCATACTCGGGGATAGGCTTATAGTACCGAGGATCCTCTGAGGTGTCGAATGCACCGCCCCCTTTGACACGCTGCACCGCGGCGAATTCGAGGGATGATGTGGACGAGCCTGATGCCACTGCAGTGACGGGACTCTTTTTACTGTCCTCGCCCGCGGGGACTGTGTCCACGGGGATATCGTGGACATTATCCGAGCCCATCTTGCCAATGGAAAAACGTTGACCACTTAGACGTAAGATACGAAAGATCTTGTTTGCGGCAGCCGAAAAGATTTAAATAACAAATGCAGGACCAGATGAGCTTTTTGATATGCTTCATCCCAAGCAGGCGAACATGAAGCTTCATCACGCAATCGCTCGGCAATATAGACAGATAGGCTAATTGCTAGATGATGTTCTGTGAAAGGTTGATGTAGCCAATCATGGCATGAACGTAATGGACCAAGAAAGACTCCGGGCATCTCGGGCGATAAGCTATGAAGTAAAACAGCTCGTGGTAGGGTGGCACTTGCGTCGAGGCCAACATCAAGCGCAGCCATGGCGGCGAGATCAGGCCGTCAAGCTGTGGAAAATGATACAAATCTCAATGTCTTGCAGTCTCACGGGGTGTCCTACTCAAGTAAGTGCGATCACGCAAACGAAGCATAAGTGACGTTATGAGGAACAAGTCAGAAGAAGTAAAGAGAGTCCGGTAGTTGTTAGCGTGGAGTAGTCGAGTAGTAGGATGTAGGATTCAAGTCTAGTTCGATCTCCGCTGCGGGAAACGGCCGAAGACGCGGCGGGGCCTTAATGGGTCGGGATCGCTCAGGCGGTGGCTGCACTTTACCCGCGTCGGTACTTCCATAACTCTTGCCTTACAATCCTCCGATTTCACCATCGCACTGGTCGATGGTGATACGTTTCGTCAGCAACATGACAACATCTCTGTCAATGCTGATTGGAGGCGAGTATACAAGTCTACGGCGAAGTGCTGCAGTGCTGCGTAAACTTGTCAAGGCCAATGCAGTCTCAATGAACTGTTGATGCGCCCTAGCAAAATGTGCTTGCCTTGACCCTCTCTTATCTACCTCATCTACAATCACACTGCGAACAATGTCTTGACCATTGACCAAACCAACCGATTTCCTTCTAATTCAACTTCTTTCATACGATGAGGACGATTTCTATGAGTGAATGCGGGTCAGGTGGGGAGTTGAGCTTGTTTGAGCTTTGGAGGGGGAAGGTTGCGCCAGGGACCATGGCTATCACGCCATGTTGCACTAAACCACGTTTGCCTCAACCAGCGTCAACCCTGTGGAACACAGTCTCATCCTCCGGCATTGTTCAAGGTTAACCAAGTTCCTTGATTGTGTATGGGGTACTTCTAACAGTAACAAACACTGGCCAGGGTTACTAAGTATACGACACTCACCACCAGATTGGGAAGACCGGCAATAGGCCAGTACTCCGCCTCGAAGATTATCTGATCAACGCCCGCCATTCCTCCTCGAGACGAGCACTGATGCCCATATGTCGTTATCGTTCGAAACCTTGTACCTAACCTTGTACCTAACCTTGTACCTCGTACCCCCTTCGCGAACCAGCAATTGCCGGAATTCGCTCGGCCATGCATACCCCGCAGGAATTGCGTGACGGCGCATCGAGTCATCGTAAAAAGGATGGTGATTATATATGCCAGAGCGAACGGTGCCCACTCGCAGATCGAAGTTCTCTCAAGAAGGAAGAAACCCAATCTATATTCCTCCATTCTAAACCACCATCATGGCACCATCCATTACTGAGACCCCGACCCTTTCTCTCCGGGCAAAGCCGGTGTCCGCGCTGAAGACCGATTCGGGCTTTAACAAAGAGAACTCAATCGGATATGCAGAGGTCTATAAGCATGACGACGAAGTCCAGGGTACAGAGAAGCAGCCGCCCGCATCATTCCCAAAATACCTCCCCGTCTGGGACAACGAGACAGAAAGGTTCGACATCAGCCCTAACCTACTGGCCACCTTTTGACCCCCGCTGACCTTCGCAGATACCCTCCTCTGCAACCATTCGAGCACTATGACCACGGCAAGGATGCGGACCTCTCTTTCTCTGACCTCTTGCCAAAGGACAAAGCGCAAGTGGATGACCTCACTCCCACCATTGGCAGTGAAGTCCGTGGTGTCCAGCTGAGCCAGCTGACGAAGGAAGGCAAGGATCAACTGGCTCGATTCGTCGCCCAAAGAAAGGTCGTCGGTGAGTTGTAGCCACAGGCTTCTCCGCTGTTCTGCAAGGTTCTGTGCTAATGTCGAGCCTCATCTAGCCTTCCGTGACCAGGACTTTGCGCATCTTCCTATCGATGAAGCCCTCGAATGGGGTGGCTACTTTGGCCGACACCACATCCATCAGACATCTGGAGCCCCCAAGGGCTATCCGGAGATTCATCTCGTTCACCGCGGAGCTGATGACACGAGTGGTGCCGACTTCCTGGCTACACACACCAACTCTATCACCTGGCACTCCGATGTAACATTCGAAAAGCAGCCCCCTGGCACCACCTTCCTGTATCTCCTGGATGGACCATCAACTGGAGGAGACACCTTGTTCGCGGATATGGCACAGGCATACCGACGCCTCTCGCCTGAATTTCGAAAGAGGCTGCACGGGTTGAAAGCGGTTCACTCCGGTATTGAGCAGGTCAACAACAGCCTCAACAAGGGCGGTATTGCACGACGAGACCCGATCACATCTGAGCATCCCATTGTCCGGACTCATCCAGTGAGTGCTTCTCAAGAAGAATTAGATTAGTGGGTGTATTCGTTCTAACGTGCTGTCTAGGTTACTGGAGAGAAAGCACTGTTTGTCAATCCACAGTGTAAGTTTAAGGTCACGTCCGTATCACAGAAAACCAAGCGACTAACAAAGCTTCAGTCACTCGCTACATTGTCGGATACAAGAAGGAGGAGTCAGAGTTCCTGCTGAAGTTCCTCTACGACCACATTGCGCTGTCTGCAGATATTCAGACACGGGTCCGCTGGCGTCCTGGCACTGTTGTTGTTTGGGATGTAAGTGCTTTCAAGCTCCCCTATGATGGAAAACAAGATTGAGAAGGCTAACTATTACAGAACCGTGTGGCGGCGCACAGTGCACTGTTCGACTGGGCGGATGGTCAGAGACGACACCTCGCGAGAATTACGCCACAGGCTGAAGCTCCTTACGAGACTCCTTTTGAAGGATAGAAGATGTCAGACAATGAACAGCGATACATATGGCCACAAGACCAGGCTACCATTTTCTCGATAGATATAGTTAGCGGCATCATGAACAGACAGGACGAATGTGACTTCTTTTGAATGATACATCATACAATATCAACCAACCAATGAATTCTTCGCTCAGCTACAACAGTGCTTGCACGACAGTTCCAGTGATGGGGTTCATGCTGAGATTAGCTTTATCCTCATGATGACACAATGAGGCATAGGGTATTGAGCACTTCACGATTGTCTGATCCGGTAGGACCAGCATTGTGTCGAACTTTATGACCTCGCGTAGACCACACAACATCATTATTGAATCAACGCCGTGAGTCACCCACACCATAACCAGCACATCAACTATTATCTTTGTTACTCCCATCTTCAACCTCTCAACACCTTCCAGTCTCGCACAACCACATCACTACTACCACCATTCTTACCACCAATATCACTACCACAACCATCTTTACCATCTGAATCTCCACCCTACAATCCCAAACATCACCACCACCACGATGTCCAACCAAGCTCCTCGAGCACCGAGGATCCACCCTCAAGTGCCCCCAAGCCATCCACACGCTCTGGGCGGCCGAACCACCAACCCCCCGAGGCGCGACGAGGACACCGCCGTCGACAAGCTCCGCACCGAGCTGGGGTCCCACAATCTCCAGTTCGGCATCTTCAAGCAGCAGGTCACCAGCCAGCTCAACACTTTGGCCCAGCACAACAACACCTTGTTCGAGGCACACAGCAACCTTGTGCAGGAGAACAAGACCCTGCAACAGGCGAACAAGCTTCTCCGCAACGAGATCGCCCGTCTCAGCAACGAAGCCACCCGCCAGCGAGCGGAGCTCGCCACCCTGCGCACCGAGGTGCAGACGGCCGCGGTCGAGCGGCAGGAGGAGATCCTCCGGGCTGGCGCTACCGCGCAGCTCATATTGTCTCAAATCGAGGATCTTTGGAATGCGTTGACTTGTCTCGACCAGAAGCGTCGCGGCGAGTTTTTGGAGTGGTTGGAGGGGATGGATGTGGAGTAGGTCTTTGCGGGTAGAGGGAAGGGGGGAGGGGGGCTTGTAAGGAAGGGAAAGTTCAATTATGGAGATATACGATGTTATGCATAGCGGGGAGCAGTGGATGGAGTTTTGGGGGTACATCATCGGGGGCATGAGTCTTGTCGGGAAGGGAGATGAGTGTGCGTGTTTTTTTTTTTTTTTTTTTTTTTTTTTTTTGGGTGTTGTGGATACGGTGTTTGGTGTATCACTTTGCTTACTCGTTGGGGTTGTGATGTTGTCTACTTGAGGACTACTGCATTGGAATTCAACTTGCTTCTCTCGAGTCTGGTATAGTTTCGTAAATCGGTCCCTTCGCTTGTAGGTGGGAGTGATGCCTCCCTCGACTATAGCATGCTTAACTTCCCTCGCGCCTTCCTGGGTACGTGGAGCAAGATGCTCATCCAACGAGTATACCACTCCCTTGGCCACAACCTCGCCAGCCCGTAGTATCTGAGACGAGGCGCCTTTCTCCCATCTACCAAAAATCTACTGGGTATTATGAAGGCAGTACCAATCCGTTATCATCTCCACTACCCACAATCCCACGTGAACCATTTCTTCGAGCACTAGATCGAGAACCATGTACCTTGCCTCTCCCCATTCTCCGCTGAACAGACAAGGCTTGTGGTTAGCTAATATGTAACCCCCAGCTTCCATCGGACACAAAACCTGCCCCATCACAAAGCCATCGATGCGATTTCTGCTTGAATTTTGTTTGAGATGTGGCCGGGCTGTGTGATCTATGTCGTTATTACGTATGTCGACTCGCGCAGTTCCGAGCTCCTATGCAATTCTTATGTAGTGTTTGGTATAGCGGTACGCGATGTTCTCACGCCTTTATACATAAAACAAAAGAAAAGAAAGCTCGAGGAAGATATAGACCATACTATGCTATAGCGGGATCAGGCCCCAACTGCCACTGTGAAAATGATGCAAATAAGGGACCTTTTGCGGAAACAACTGATAGGTAAAAGATTGTATTTCAAGTCAACTATAAGTGAGATATAAGTTTGGCAATTTGTAGTAACGAAGCGTCGAATGAAGCTGCTTCATATGATGTTCTACACAGCATAGATCCTGTAAATGTTGTCAAAGTAAGAGCTATAACTTCAACAGCTGGTCTCGTGGCGCAATGGTAGCGCATTAGTTTCCGGTACTAGAGGTTGTGCGTTCGAGTCGCACCGGGATCGTTTTTTGCCCACCTCGAGCCCGTCTCTTCCCTTTTCACAACAGGAGTAAACCACCTTGTATCTGTTTGCTATCTCTGTTTTTCTTTATAGCATACTCCGACAAGGCTCCGAGGACCCGAAGACCCGAAGTCAATGGTTTGGATCCAGTCAGGACCCATGGTTCATCTCAGACGAGGCTTATCGATTTATCTTCGGCCCCCAACTTGCACACTCGTCCACGACACCAGTGTCGCACCTCTGCTTCATCTTTCAGCGGTCCAGCCCGTAAGCCCACCGATCCAGATGACAAGCAAGCCAAGCCAACATTATAGTACCGCTCGAGGTGGTCCGAGGCTCAGGCCATAGCCCAGACCTAGGACCGTGATCGGTGTTTAGTCCCTGAAGATTTGCTTAACTCGACGGAGGGGGCTCTGCAGCCCCCACTGTGAGGCCATTTGGCTTAGGTGGTATTGATACATTAGGGTGCTCGCCGTAAGACGAATTGGAGTCTCGGAGTAACGTAAGACTCTGAGAAACATACATGGAACTGAACGGGGAGCCTCCAGCTTGAACCTGGACTTAGATAAGAGATAACAGGAGTTGGTAATCCGTTGAAGTCTATCAAACTGGTAGAATGGGGCCGCAATAAAAGCAGCCTGGCCCGATTCACTAAAAGCAATGAACCCCCGCACGCCCTTCTAGAAGAAAGAGTAGAGGAAATCAATATGGTTCAGTAGGACCACACACAACATATATTCATATATACAGGAAGTAGTCAAGGTTTGTCGGCCCTGGAGTCTCGACAATCCAGAGACGAAAAGGTAGATGAAACAGAGATTGAGGAAATGAGAAGCGTCGCAAAAGTGTACAGGATGAAAAGAAACAAGAAATCGACCAAGGTCGAGAGAAGAACTTCGTGGCAGGAATGGATGCACGATCACCAGGAGCTCAGATAACAAGAACAGCTCGCGCACCACCTTGGCCAGCAAAGCAGGAGCGAGGCTGGTCCGTTTTGTCCCGAGGACAACGTGCCGATTGGGGAGGCAAGGCGCAAGAAACCTTGCATATGGAACCGAGGGAGATGGCGTCTTTTCCCACCAGAGCGTGTAAGTAAACCTTCATTTTCATCGTCGAACAGAGTGGTTATCTGTTTCAGGTGAATCGCGGCCCCGGCTATGATACCGGTTTGTAGCCAGATTTACTTCTCCATTCAGTCTGTTTCCAATTTTGTTGGAAAGAGTCCATCTCTGTCCGCTCCGTGTTCCACTTGGCGTCGTCCAATGCGTGTTCGAGACGACCCTTCTTGCGCTGGCGCACGAAGAACAAAATGAATGCGGCGAGCAGCATGGCTCCGACAGCCGCAGAGCCAGCGTACACACCGATCTTGGCACCGGTGGGCAATTCAGCCCATTTCTGGGCCAGAGTCTTCTCCGGTTCCTTATTCAATTCCACGGCAGCCGTCGAATTACCCCTGGAGCTCCAGAGTTAGTAGTCCGTCATGTAATATCTCAATGGCGAGGAGGACTTACGTTACGACCTTGATGCTCTCCCACGAGCCCGTATGATTGGTATATTCGTACTCTTTGCCGGTGTGGAAGTCCTGTACGCGCACTTTCTGGACGACCATATTGTACGGACCAGCATCATAGTCGATCTCTCCGCCCGCCCACTCGATTGTTCCCAGAGGCTCGCTCGGGTCACCACCGGGCCAGATACCATAGCGGAGTGTGCAGGGGGTCTGCGGATAGTTCTTGCCGTCCAATGCATCCTCGTACTTCAGCGTGCGCACCAATGTGCCGTCAATCCACCATTCCAGTTTCGCGGCATCCCAGTAGGTAGTGTAGTTGTGGAACTCGGTGTCGGCGTTGGGAACATAATGGAAGCCTCCACGGTCAAAGGACGTATCGTTACCCTTGCCGAAGTAGTTGGACTGGACTGAGCTAGTGTTGTAGCCCACCCACTCCCAGTCGATCTCGTCCAGGTCATCGGACTCCAACACGATACTGCTAATCACACCGCCACCCTTGGCCATCTTGACCCATGACTCAACGACACCGAAGAAAATGTAGAAGGTCGACTTGATGGTGGGGGAGTCCAGCTTCTTAGCGATGGTGAAATTCGCGCCGGCGTCGGTGATGGCGATATGGCCGTTGGTGGTCTCCCAGATCTTGGAGTCGAGCGTCTCGTTGAATTGCCATGAGAAAGTCGTGCCCAATGCGGGATCCGACGGGCAGGTGGCGTTGAGGGGGTTGCATGTGGTTGAGGTCTGAGCAGCCACTAAGTAAATTTGGGCCACGATCAGGGCCAGGAGGTTAAAGAAAGACATAATGGACAGTCACGTCCTTTAGGATCACCACTCTCCAGATACTGAGAGATACGGTCCCCTCGTCTTGTCAAAGATAGTATTCAAGGGAGCAGAGGCGAGTCAGGACAACTGCGGGTCACACACGCTTGCTTCCTGGCAAGATAAGGTGCGATAAAGGGGCGTTTCCTGGCAATGCACCCGGGGGGGGACGAGTGTTTGAGATCAATTCCTCTAACGGTCCGTAAGGAGTGAGACCGAAAGCGTGGGGAAGAGGAAGAGAGAGAGGAAGATTCAAGTCTCAAAAGAATGGCAGCGCGATCGAGTCGCACGAGGAGGTTGAAAAGCACCCACAAGAAGGGATGAGAGGCAAGAGGGATGGAACTGATGCGGAGGAAGAACGGACGGAGGAGAGGGGAAGAAAAAGAGACATGACGGCGAGAGCATTTTCCTTTAATTTACTAGATACTAGGTTGACCCCAACCACAATGACTAGTTTTTTTTAACCCTTCCTTTTTTTTTCCCCTCGCTCTCTTTTCTTGTTCGATCATAATAGTTAGAATTATAAGTTATTCTTTTTTTAAACCCGAATTGGAGACACAAACAAGGTGCATGTCTCTCATCCAAGCTGCGAGTCTGCAGTCGATGTCACTAGTTTTTGGCCCTAATCATTTCAGGGGCTGCTCCAAACAGGAAACCACCCGACTCATGAAGGGAGACTAGTCCTGAAACAGCCTGGTATGCCACAAATCTACCCTGGTTCGGCTGGCTAGCGTGGTCCCTGGCCCTGAATTTAGTCCTAATAGGGACTAGTGCTGTCCCCACGACCACGGAAGGGCTCGGATGGTTCCAAGGACCAACATGATTGGGTCGAATAAGGCCGACGATAGATCCGTACACCAATCAGGGTTCTGCCTCAGGGGAACAAGGGGTTCACTTTCAAACACCCGACAAACTACTAACAGCAATTCGGGGATGAGTCCACAGTGCCCGTGAGAACTGCTGGCTGGGAAAGGGAAGATTTCAAACTGATTAAAATGATAAGCGCACCGGTAAAGCAGCTTCAAAGGAGTTAATTGAGCGATCATCGACCAGAAATGATACTTATGTATGAGTAAGGTATCCATGATGAAGCTGTGAGTGCTCCTTACTACCCAGAAAGAGCCAATGGCACCGCCACTCTCGGGTTGCTTCATGTATCGTACCTGCAGCCACTGCCGAACTCCTCTGCAATTGCCCATCGAATGACCTTGCGTTCCACCCACCCACCTTGAGGCACATATACTCCACGGTTCCCAAGGGACAATCAAACAAGCACAACTAAAGGCATGGATTTTCACTCTTCCTGACTAGTTCTGGCACCGCCTGGTGAGGATCCATTCTTGGTCTCAGCACAGCACAGAGGGTCAGTGCCGTGGCAGTTCACTTGGATCTGCTAATTGGCTGGTGGCAAGTCATGTAGAGAGGTACGGAGTAGGTTTGCGGCAAACTCAGTCCTACCAGCAGATATCGGGATTGTAACGCCGTGAGGGGGGAAAAGGGGGGCAACAAGGGTAGAATTGTCAACATGGTTGGAGATTGTGGTTTCCAACCGCACAAACGTTCGATTCCCCCACCCCCTCTCAACTCTCCGCAGCCAACGGTCTGCGCGAGTCTCCCAGAGCCAAGGTAAGGGAGCACAACTGCAGATAAATTCGAAACATGGAGAGGTCGTGTAGCCGGTATCGTGCCAAGCCATGCCTGCTACTCTGTATGAAGGTCTCTGCAGACTTCACAATGGACAATCTCTGACAGGTTAATCTATTAACGTCACTGCCTACAGATGAGCATATTAGATGCGACTTCGACACGAACATGCTCGGCGCTGGTCAGTCTAATTTCCAGTGCCAGTTCACCCCACTTTCGCAGATAGGCAAATAGACATTGCATAACGACCAAGAAGGATAAAAATGGAAAGGATGGAACCGTTCCCACTTGGCAAGAGAACCAAGAGCACCACAGTTTTGCAGATCAACTGACCATGATCTTTCATGGTGGAAATCGTCAAAGGATTATAACCGGCTACTAAGATTCGTGGCCTGCCGCCACTCGGCCAAATGGCTGTTGTAGTTATGCGTACATGAATCATCGATAGATCAATCAGTCAGTCATCCGATCATTATCATAAGTCTTTCGTGTCGGACAGTCTATAGTATGATTCATCCAGGGTATTATTATATAGCATAAAGGTCATATCGACATGTACATCCATCGTAACCATACGTGATTCGAAACTCAACAAACACATTAAACCGCCCCCTCTCCCCAGCTTCCTCTACTTCCATCCTTCTATCCCTCCCAATTCCTTCCATTCCTCATCCACACCCTATCAATTGAGATAGACTTTCGCGGGCCTCCTTACCGAACTCCTCGGTTTCTCCACATAGTAGTATGACGGGCTCCGTCGCTGCCGGTGGCGATGGCGCGCTCGGTTGGTAGGCAAATTGGTCTCCCCGTAGTCGGGCTCGCTCTCCATCTCATGATTCATGGCACAAAGCTTCCAGAGCCAGAGAAGCAGCAGGGTTCCTGCCATCGTGCCGAGGACGATACCGGCGATGCCACCCCCGGAGATGGAATTGGGGCAATTGGAGTCATCCCGACTCTGGAGAAGGTGGATTGGCGCCTGAGGGAAGGGAGAAAAAAAATCAGGTGTCAATTTCCCTCATTTCTTTCACGGGAGACTCGGACTCGGCCCGCCCGCGCGAACAGATCCACGGAACAACGAGACTCGACTTACCATGGGTGTGGTGGTTGGGTTTCAATGTACTGTACGGAGTACCGTGCTGCACAATTGATATCAGAGATCGATGTCTTTGTGGTCCCCTCAATGCAAGCACAACCGAAAGAAAGTCAACTAACTGGGAAATCAGAAGAGGGGGTGGAATTGGAACCATATATTATCATCATCATCACCATCATCATCATCTTTTTCTCTTCACCTTCTTGTCCATACTTTCCCGCTGCGGCTGGGCTGGTGTTCCCATTGACGTCAACCGTACGTCTTTTGCCTTGGATCCTCTCCTAAACAAACCCCCCCCCCCCCCCCC